ACGTTTTAATCATTTGCTCCAAATTCAGGCCCAAAAACTCGACCAACTTATCGGTCTTCAAATTACTAGTGATTCATCGCCTGAAAGCCACAAAAATGTAGTTGTTCCTTGGCCAAGAGAAACTTCTTTTCACTATAGATATTACATCTCTTTATACTGTCATTCCCAATGACGAAAGTTCTCCTGGCCCTCAAACATTTTTTCAATCAACGCACTGTTAAGGAACGGCCCCAAACCTGAACTCTACGGTCGCTACTACTACTGCATCGGCGCTACCTCCTCTTCCAGAATGGACAGAATGGAGCTCACTCAATTTATAACCGCCGTCAATTCCTTTCACCAGGCTCTGAAATATACCTGGGAAATTTCCTACACTTTTTTGGCCTTTCTAGACATAAAAATTTAAATTGAAGGCAACGGTCTATGCGCTAGTCTTTACTTCAAACCTACAGATTCACAGCCAGTTAATTGTCGTATTCATCTTCGCATTCATCACACGTTAAGAATTACATTCCTTTTTCACAGTTTCTCAGACTTCGTCGTGTACGTAGTGACGACTCTGGTTTTTCCGGAGAATTAGGGGCGCTGTGTCAGTTTCTCGCTGAACGTGGCTATCCTGTTTCTCTCGTTCAAGCGGGCCACCACCGCGCCCAACGAATTGATAAACAGTCAGCACTACAAACGGCACAGTAGGAAAACACCGATTGCGTTCCAATCACTCTCACATTTCACACTCACAACCACGCAGTTAAATCTATCATTCTTAAAACTTAAATTAGTTTCGCTCTGACGAAAGGCTGACGCTCGAAACGTCAGCTTTAAAACTCTTTACGGTGGCCAATTTACGTTATCAACTCAGTTGATAATACCTAAGTACCTTGTTATTCTTTCCCACCGATGCAGCACCACAGTTTCTTTAGAAACTTACCCCCTTTAATTAATAACAAAGTTCCCTTCCCCCCTAAAAAAGAATGAAACGTACGATTACTTATGTCCACAGCATCTTGTAGTTTGTTGAGTCCTAGCTGGAATTGATCACTCAAGAGCTCGAAGGACTGAACTTGATCACCCAAGAGGGGCTTTACTTGCCAGTATCCTGGAAAAGGGTCACAAGTCACAATATAAGTACTCCGAACACTTGAGAGCTCTCTGGTGGGTTAGTCTAAAGCTGGATTCGGGCACGTTGTGAGTAAAAGAGCTTATCAAGGCACCAAATATTATGATAATAAAATAATCCTATTTACCAGAACCAAAAGAAATTGGAAACTAGCCTGCTGAAGAAGGACCTAGTACCCTTTCCACCTCACTGCTTGCAAGTGGTTGTAACTGAAGAGATTCGCAGAGAAACTCAGTTGACATCTCCTCTTCTCCATCTAAGATACAAATTACGTACGAATAGATACAAATTATCATATTAATGATTTTAGTGAAGCCTGGAGGTACCGAACAATACAAGGGAGCGCAGAAAGTAAAACCACTGATAATTGAGACAGATTGATCATCAAAGGCAATTAAGATATGAAAATAGGGGCTTACCTTTCACGATGGCTTGAAGTGTCTTATCAAGCCACCACCTGCTGGTGAATAAGGTGAATCGTTAAAAATAACGAAGGGTATTTTAAAGGAATTACGCGAAATGAGCATGAATAAATCTAAGCGAAGAATAGCTCAAGACTTTTGGTTAATTTTGTATCTCATAGGAAACAAAAATTGACTGATTTTCTAAGAAACGGCTATTAAGAAACTTGATTGACTTTCTCGACGAGTCACTTGAAAATTTACATACTAGTTTGTTCGAAGTTTTGCCGTCCCAACCTGAGAATCATTATTATTATACATGATAACAATTTCTTTCTATAGGCTGGAAAACGTACGTATGTCAGATTTTGATTAACGATTTAAACTAACAATCTAATTGCCCTAACACGCTTGTACCATAATTCTGACTACTGATGTAAAAGATGACGAAACCATCTTTCTAACCTTTTCCTCATTGGGAGAAATCCAGGGAGCAAACTCCTCAGCCTGAATTCGGTTATCCCGAGCGGTTGCAGATTTTGTGCAAAAAGCCTGTGCCGTTTTATTTCCTAAATCTGACTCTAAAATGAAGTGAAGGCATTCCTCTTGCTTACAATTTTCTTCATAATGTTGTGTGCAGAAGCTGACCGCGCGTCCATGGGAGCAGATCGGACATAGGAAACATACCTTACATGCAACATTCTTCACTCAGAAGAACTTGTTCCTAACGTGATCTATCATCAAAGTTAGCTTGCTACGAAAAGCTTTAATTGAGGCCACATCAACCGTATCAATTTCACTATTTGCACTATGGAAAATGACCTCAATTGCATAGGAGTGGCAAAGGAGAACAATCGAGAGGCCTTGGTTAGGGAAGATGTGAAATCTCGCAAAATTGTTATAAAATTGGGGTGGTGCTAAGGGAGGAAATTCTTTTCCACACCAAAGAAAGAATTCCAGCACAAATCTGGGAAATAATCCTAGAAGGACCTGACTTGCATCAAATTTTAGAAAAAGAGAGGGAAGTTGTGCAGATTCAACGAGATCGTTAATCATTTTTGGCGGATGCGTCTGCATCATAGATGGCACCAGATAATGCTTGTTGCCCGAGTCTTGTGACGATGGCCAAGGACACAACAAGCTGAATTTCTCCATAATTGCTAATAGGCTTTCGTGGGTTTCTGTCTCAGGAATCAAAGAATTCCAAACATTTTTTGAGGAGCTTTTCTTCCAGGATTCCCTCTTTTTCCAGTTTGAACCAAAGATCAGCAAAGTTTTCCTCCTCCGAGTTGAAGGGCCTGACAGTTATTACATTCTTTAATACGTCAATCAACCATTGGGTATCCAAGATAACTAGATCACTCAATTCCGGAGTGTAATCAAAGTGGATCAAGACTCGCAGATCGTGCAAAAAGTTTAACAATGTTAATATCTCTTCGTTTTTGTTTATGTTGCAAACGTCGGAAGCAATCTGTTTCGCGGTTGCGAGGGATATGAATTTTTGACCATTTTCCTTGATCATACGCAGGGCATTTTCGTATTTCAACCACTTGATCGGAATAGCCTCATGTACATATGGTAACTCCTTAGCAACTTTATGCACCTTCTCCCGCAATCGCATGATCTCTTGACATTCGGATTCAGAGCCTAACTTGGTGTTATCAACACAAAACACGTCAAACAACTGGCCACCATATGGCTTGGTTTTCAAATCGCCAAAAATTTCTTTGGCAAGTGCAAAAGGATTGCGATTACAATATGGTTTGTCAGCATGAGTGCACACCAAGAAAACAACTGGAATATTCTTTGAAAGCACCTCCCTGTCGGGGTTCACATGTGGGCGATTACTATGTTCCACTAAGGAGGCCAAAGAACTCATCCAAAACTCTAAGTAATCCAAATTAGTTTTCAGATTATATTTATCTTTAATTTCTCTATAAACTCCTTGCTTCACCAAGGGTATGGCTTTATCGCTTGGATTCCTACTTAAGTCATAGACCAAAAAGTAGATTGCTCTTCTTGTGAGAACGAGTGGGTGTGTCACGTAATACACAGACTGTCCAGCAAAGTCCCACGTAATTGAGTAAATATCCTCTCTATCGTCTTCCAAATCATCTTGGAGGATCTGTTGAATTAATTTGGCAATGTCTTCCGGTACTTTTCCGAACGTTCTGTTTAATACATCTTCGTGCTCTGTTGAAGGTAGATTATGTTCTTCTCTCGTTGGTAAAGAGGGTTGATCGTGCGAAGGATGAGTGTATGCTGGATTTGTAGGTAACTCTGAAGGTTCCCTGTAACTTGTAATCTCACTGAGGTATCCTCCCTCTAAGGTGTTAATTTCTTCTGAGTCATAATGTGCTGACATAGTGCTACCTGTTCCTGTAACTTCAGCAACGTTTTCTTTCGCCGATAATTTATCTACAATCCACCGAGCTGCACTATGCTCAAAAGAGATTGATGCCTCGTCAACTTTTTCGCCTCGGTCCTTTTTTCCTGTCATCCCCACTTCAGCGGTTACTTTGAATTCATAGGTATCAACATCGATGCCCACGGTGCTATCCTCGTTCGGGCTGAAACAAATTCCTTTCAAGGACTTCTTCACGCTAGTCTTTCCTGACCGATCTTGTCCAACTAACATCAACGGTACTCTCTTCACACAAGTTTGACCTTCGGCCAGTGCATTGTTGTAGGCTTTTAAAGCTTGAGGACCACGGGCGCGAATCTCTGGATAAACTGCACATGGGACAATCGAGAAAAGCACTTTAATAAATCTCAACACTCAAGATCGAATTGAAAGTGAATCAAACAAACAAGAAATAGGTAACATGCAAACAAACAAAACCAAATAATCAACCAATCAATCGAGTTCTATTTTTAATGCAAACAGGTTACATCTCCTCTAATACATAAGATTGATTAGGTGATGGGGAGAAGTAAAAATTGACGACTTTGTAAAGAGGCATGTAGACGCGTTCCCGGCGCATTATTATTTGAATTGGCAATATGAGTAGAAAAAAAAAAATCTTAAATATTAAAGTTTTCTTCATCATACCTCTTAACTTCCAATAATTGGCCACATTAAATGTATCCGACGTTAGAAGAAGAAGAAAATGCGGTAGGGATAACAACTCATGCCGATTTATTACAAGTACACAAAGGATGGGTTTCCTCATCTGTTCTTGCGTATTCATTTCCTTTCATCTCCCGTACAAGAAAGTCTTGAATCTCCTTTACAAATTGAATAAATTCGGGCAGTTTCTGAACTATGATTTCCGGTTGCCAATCTGTGCCATTTAGAAGTTTGTCGCACTCTTCACTATGTAAGTGGAGGTCAGTCTTCTCATTTCCACAAGAAAAAAGAGAAAATTAGAAAGACTAGAAATTAAGTTGTTTTGCTCAACATACCGATCGTTTTTTATACAACTATGCGATTTGCAACCGTTAAACATTCATTATTACCGATTCCCTGCTTCTTTCATTTCCTAAGAAGTCAATGGACCATGAATTCTCCTGAGAAAGTATGGCAAAGAATCCTTCCGCGTGCTGTACATTTTTCGCTTGCAACATCGCTTATGGAGTAAGTGGAATCCTTCAGGCAAATCGTGATCTGGAAGAAGTAATCCGAAGGTATCCTTATCTGTCAAAGTGAGTCGAGAAAGGTATGTAGACAAAGCACGTCTCACTTCGATTTCGGGTACGTCTCCTCAGATAGCAGTTCGATCTGTAGCAAGACAAATTTTTGTATAAAAGTGTTAACAGGAAGCAATAAAATTAACCCATTTTACTGAAATATTTGTATTGAACCAATGCATTTTTAAATCCCATGGACTGTGCTGCAAGTAGTTTATAGTTAAGCAAAGCTCTTTCTTGGACTTGGGTATCCATAGGGTAAAGGGATCTTTCAGCCAGGGTAGGGGAAGACTTTCCTGTCCAACTAAAAGTAGCATTTGCAAAAGACAGATATGAACGGAAACTAAAAAGATTCGTTATTGCTCTTTCCTCTTTAACAGAAACTAAGCAACAGAAATGATGGAACATGACTCGTGACCGCCAAACACATTTAGTTAAACTCGAAAGTTTTACTGAAAATTTAGTCGTGGATGGGTGAGAAGGGAGAGGAGAGAAGGAGGGAGACAGTACGTGAAGAATGAAAACTAAAACGAGGAGAAGTGTCTTTTATAACGACAAAGACCAAACAAAAATTGCTAGACTTGCCTCTTCGCTCACGTATGGTGAACCTGCAGTCTAACTCGCAACCAGGAAAAAGAATGTCGGTCTGTAGATATTTTCGAGATTTAAGTACCAGCCATCCACGACAGCGTGATTGCGTCGTTTCATCTTCAAATTGAATCTCCTCCAATACATTCTTTACGTCACTAAAAGGGATTGGTATATCTTCAAGCTTTTTCTTTACGCTACTCTTTGCCACCCACACCTGTTTGATAAGGAAGAAAAACACAGCACGTTAAGCATGAGCCACTGCCTAGATGGAATTCCTAACATTGTAAGTTCACTTTTCGGCGAACGACGCACTTTGGGAGAGTTAATGTACGTCGACTAAACGGAGCGAAACTTCAACAAAGGTGAATTTTTTTTTGTTCATATTCATGTGGCACGGAGGGGAAATAAAAGGAATTAAAAACATACAACATTCAAAGTGAAAAAGAAATAGACGAGCGTAACACACTCGTCGGTTATAAAACGTAAAGAGGAAGAAATTGTTCGCACTCACCTTACATCTAAGTTGATAAAAACAAGGCGTCAAATACGTTAGGTCATATCTAGAGATGTATTCATTATCTTCAGTGATCTCTTTGAGGCCAGTTCTTTTTAAGATGTCCTCATGAATATCATCTCTTTCTCTAAAAGAAACTTTTTTTTTCTCCAGCGTTAGGCCTTTGAAAATTGTCCGTAATCTCTTCGATATCCCACGTTTTTTGGACAACATCCTCTGAAAAAAGAGAAACAAGAGGACGGACATACAGATTATAATTATGCTGAAAAATTACTTAGATTCTACCTCACCGAGAAGTACATCAGGTTAGCCAGCAAGATGAATTATGACTTAGAACAATTTTTTATGGGAGGCTAAATACAAGAAGGAAAAAGAAGCGATGAAACACCTTGGGGACAACAAAGGAGAAACAGCGAAGTAAGATCCACAAGAAAAAGAAGTTGAAGAGAGCATAGAACTTTTCAACGGGTAGGACACTTAATTCAATTATTATTCATCGATGCAAAATATTCAAATTAGAATGAACATTGCCTTCATCAGGTACTGTAATGATGGAGGTCCCCAAATGACACCACATATCGGCCTTCGGACTCTCATCTGTCTCCCTGTTCTCTTTAATCTTGCGTAAGGACATCAAAACTTCGTCTTCAAGATTGGATTGGTACACGGGGTCATTCCGGTCATGGTACAAATTCTGCCCAGATACTCATATAAATATTGTATAACGATTGCCATAAGAATTCTAATTCTCGATTTAAAAATGTTACGACAACTAAAAGCAGTTGGCTTATAACGAAACATGACAAATATATAGATAGATGTTCAGTTTTTGTCAAAAGCGACAGAATAATAGAACATCTAAGTCACCCGTAAGTATTCAAACCACAGACAACCTAATTTTTCGGTCGTCAAAACTGCTTGATCACGGGGTGTACGAGCTCATATAGTCTGACCAAGCTTAAAATTGTAAAAATGTATCAGTTGTCAAATGTGTTCAGTTCTTGTTTAATAATGCAATATTACAAACAAGGCCCATCAATATGGAAAGGCAACTTGAAACCTAGCTAGATCTGTAGGATTTGTCGCAAGCCTGTATGTTTTTGACAGCGCTGTCTTTACGACTTTTTTTAAAAGCATGAAACGACGCAACACAATGCTTCAAAACTATTTTTATCCCCATATCACGCAAGAAGAAGAATGTGTCAACTCGTGTACATTACCATAGCAAAATGAAGCCAAGAAGAATACCTCTCTTTCACAGTGTTCAGCTGGTTCGAGTCGATATTGCGTTTGAAGCCCTGGTAGCGGTATGCGATCCTCTACTTGCACCTCCTCAAGCTTAAGTTTACAGTTCCCAGGAAGATGACAACCATCGACGTAAGAAGAAACTTTGTAAAATTCCTTTTTAAAATCCTTTAGTCTAGCTCCAGCCTGAAAGTTTTAAAGGCAACGTAATCAAAAGCAAAATGGTTTCATTGTACACAACACATTATCAATTACTGGTTTAGGCCACGCAAGTCTAGTAATCAGGTGGCAATGGTTCTTTGTCGATTCTTTGACAATTCAAAATGAAAAAATCTCAATGAATTGAGCATCAGAGGCTACAGACTCTACAAAGTTAGTGAGCCACAATTTTCAGAGGAATGGCGATGGGGCAGGTCGACTAAACTAACCAAATACCAATGATATCACAGACGAGTTTGAAAGATATCTCGTTAATAGTGACGTGATGATTATCTATCAAGAAAGCCAGACTTCCTCTGCCCAATCTCCAGTCTTCCTATCGGCTGGGTATGGGTAGCTACTATCAAAAAATGTATTTATCACATAAAGAGCGGTGTTATACAGGGCTCTCCAGCTCTGAGAAAAGCCTTAACAACACACGTCACTCGTCTTTGGCAAAGTCTTCACGATTAATACAAGATAGTTTGTTGGAACTTTCTCGGATCATGGCGACTAAATACTATAAAAATCCGTATCGCTGAAAGACAGTGAGGTTCAAACTTTCCTAGAAGGGGAAAAAACCAATATACAAAAAGAAAAACCCGAAAGTTACGTACTCAGTGGCTTTGGTGTTGGCATTTCTCACGACTGAGAATGAAAATCGCCAACTGGAAGATTTGCCAATGGCCGATTTCGGCCACTTACCTGAAAGACTTCTTCTGTAGGTAAGGACAAAGTCAATAAATGAGAATTGTGTAAATTGAAAATTGTTGTTTTTGTAATCATACTTCAACGCATTTTTCCATCTTAAGAGTTAGCGCTAACGCACTCTACGATTGTTACTCGGGGATTGTCGATCATTTGTTTTCATTCATTAATGAAGTCTGCTTTTCTTGTCAGTAAAGGGCTATTGTGTTGACATGATAAACAAAATAATACATGGTTGCTTCTAGATATGGAATTTCTCATCAAGTGTTTAACTTGATAGCTCACGAGAGAGATGTTCAGTTTAACACTCGAAGAGAAATTCCATATTAACACGCACCCATGTATTATTCTCTATGTATCTGCACAAAGTACATTTGTGTTATCTTCACAAATTTGTTGAACCTGGTCTGAGAAAAATCAATAATACAACGTTTTCTTTCTGTTTAAATTCTTTTCCAGCTAAATTTGAATCTTAGAGATCAAAAAAGGGATAGCCTAGATCAAGTATGGGTATCCTTTACCCTAACAGAAAATACCGCCAACAGTTAGAAAGTGATCTCTCTCTGTGATAAAGAGTCAATTTGTAAATTTAAACATACCACAATTGTTCCTATATTCATTCTCGCGTGTCGCATTCTGCTGTTGTGTTCCATAGACTATGTATACTTCTCCATTCTCCACGAAAAGTTTTACCCCTGTTTGGGTCGCTATCTTGCGTAAAGTACGACTCTGTTTTCCAACCACTCTGCCTTTGTATCTTTCTGAAATTTCTACCAGTTCTTCCCATCTATTAACCAACTCCTCCTATTAAAAAAGGAACTGATAGTCAATTCAGTCCCCATGCTATACATCAAATAGTTTTGAATAAGCAATCCTACTGTAGGCATCATTTGGGTTTTTAAAATTTGACGGGTGCATGTCTCTCTTTGAATACTGAGGGTGAACATAAGGGAATTAAGACTTGCTTTGCTTCGGTCAGTATCTTATAAAAACCTGGATATTTTCTGTTGAATTCTTTGAGTTACACCCTCGGAATTTCATTAGTGATGATGTAGGACGAATTCGTATCGGCACCGTTATTCTGTAACCTGCTTGGATATTTTCACTTAAATTAATTGAGTTACACCCTCATAATAATTCTATTGTGAATAGGAAAGATAAATATATGTTATTTGCCAGCTGGAAAATAACATATATGAAAATATGTTATGATGCCGTAGGCCTCGGGAAGCATTTCAAGACCGAGGTCCCAGTTTTTCACCATACGAACCGACCCTTAGCCGGTAAATAACATATATTTTTTTTTAAACTGGACGAAATTCTTTCCGAAAGAACCCTAATGATTACCGGTTACCGGTTGCTGTAAATACTGCAAGATCCTCCATAAACTGAACAATTTATGAGCGAGTAAATGGTAGTTAAAATAGAGGTGATGCAAATTAAAGAGAGATGCCTCACCGAAACATTTTCATTTCCGTAACGACAAAGGTGATTTAAAAGGCTTCCAAACAAACTTTGAAACATTATTTTTACAAGTATCCGTCACGATCTGAAACCTGTCAATTAGAGAGCGCGTAAGAGAAAAAAAGCGCACGAACATTTGAAAACAACGGAACTAGTTTGGCAAGGCTGTCATAACAATGTTTTCTTCAATAACAGTCAATGACCTAACGGAAAGTATTATTCACTCTCATCGACGATTCATTCATGTACGAAGATTTACCTCTGTTCATTAAGTAAACGGCGAAAGTAATTCAAATTTTTTATTTTGAAGTTGTGAGAGTTTGTTCGTTTCTTTGCTGCAATGGCGTGTGTAAATCTAGTCTTTCCTCCACAAAAACTAAATTCGAACGGCACACTCCAACGAAACACACGGGGATTTAATGTAGCCTTTTCTCATTAAATTCCTTCAATTTCTGTTGTGCAATTTACGGTAAAAATGTCCAAACTGACCGGACTTGGAAAGACTCGCCGAGAGCGTATATTTGTTGTAGAACTTAAATTAAAACTTCGCACGCTCTTTCATTACGAACAAATTGTTTGAGAAAATTCATATATTAAATCAATGAAAGTTCCATCGTTCAGTTTAACTGTAACCATGCAAATACTTCACGTTTTAACTTTCTATGTACTTTTTGTGAACGATTAAAATTAATTGCAGACGGTTTTCAGGCCGCTTGTCAACCAACGTAATGACACTTTTGCTTATACAAATTTATTCTGAAACCAATATTTTTCCGTCAATCAAAGTGATTTGAGAGAGAGAAAAGAGAGGATTCATAAGTTATTTGTCAGCTTGAGGTATTGACCGACGTGTTTGCTTAAAAATACTGCCCAGCTGGAAAAACGAGATATATTTATGAAAAATGGTGGGCAGAGATAGGAAAATAATGACCGGGTAAAGAACCAATCAGATTGCAGGATTCGTTACCTTGCCCTCTAAAAAAAAAAATCATTATATGTACCACAAATACAGCACATTTTATCCTCAGTTTTACGAAAACAATGGTTTATTAAATGTTGACTCTTGATTGTTTGGCATAAATTGTTGATTATTTGATTATTTTTTAGCCCCCTGAAGCCACTTATGACTCTGGACTTACTGAACTTGATATCCTTAGGATTGAATAAAATTGCTTGCACAGCCATAGATTGCACCCAGTTTACATATGTAGATAATTTCCTATATTATTCATTTTATAGCTGTATTCATACACATAGATATGTAGGTAACATGCTTTGACTTTACCAAATTGTATGTTTCTTTTTTATGCAACATATATTCTTTGATTTCCCTCCTAACCTGCCAACAAATAATTGAATTTTTTTTTAATTCACATGTGAGAAGATAAAATGAACTTTTGCAGAGTTCACTTTCCAGATTGAATTCAGGTGAGCAGGTGTCAGTAAACAATTTAATGTCATGTGCCTCTCCCGAAACTGCCCTAGTTTTTTTACCAACTCTCTTATATATCTCTGTGTATACCAGCCTATGACTAAAATCTCAGTGAATAGATACGTCATATTTTTCCATTTTTTTAAAATTCCACCTTCAAGTTTTTGACATTTACCATTTAAAAATTCCTAAATGGCATTGCTTTTTCATCCTTGTTAAGAGAGATTACACATTTCTTCATTTAAAACCTGAATAATGAAATCAACTTGATTTCAATGAGTTTCAAACTAAATTCTACACAAGAACACTTTACTGGAGCATAATGCCACATTCATTTGCTGTCTGATACATCCATATCAACTCAATGACATAACAAAACCTTATTATATCACACCGTCTATATCGTATACATGACAAATAATGAGTCTTATAAATAGGGATTTATTTATATTTTAATGATTAAAAGATACTTATGCTTTCAAATTTAAAAATATAAAATATGGTGAAAATATGATCTTATGTACATGCACTTACAATGAAAAATCTGTTGTTGGTAGCTTATGTCTTTAATGTTTAAATTTCTGCAGGAGATACTTTTCTTTGAGAGCAGAGGTACAGAAGTTTTCAAAGCTACCAGAGATAAGTGAATTCTTCAAATCCTTTCATGATCCTTTATAGCAAACAATACTAGTAAATTGTATTACTTTCAAGCAATCAATTGATATGAAAACTTCAATTGGATTTTTATCAGCCTCTACAAAGAATGTTCAAAATAATCTGTTTGCAAGTGATAAAAAGCAAATTGACCATCATGCCTTCATGCTGGACATGCTTCACTCATACATGTCAGTTGATAATACTTACATATCTGTTTCTCTTAATTAAGCCCTTAAAGCTTGTGGCAGGCAAGTAAGTAACCTGACTTCCTTTGATTAGAATTGTATGAGGATGTAATTTTGCAGTAGGTACCATGTTGTAACATGTAATGTTATTTAGAGTAAATTAAATACTCTAACTCAAGATTTCAATAGTGTATGATGTTCTAACAAATGCTCATACCCAAACTAAATATTGATACATGTATATGGAATGATCACAAGATATTTGAGTTTTAAAGGATGGGAATCTGGAAAAGAAAGGATCCTCCTTAAACTAGAATTGAAATTAATGGGCACCCTCCAATTTTAATTCATGTGTTTTCTTTGACCTGCCTCCAACTCTTTTTTGTTTAGGGGCACGTAGATGAAGATTTTGATGCATGGAAGCCCAATTCCACACAATTTCTGAATTTTTCTCAAATTTTTCTTCCCAGAAAATAATCTAAGCATATTAGAATTGTTCAAAAATCTTACCAGACCCCTTCTAGTTGCTTCTATTTTTATGATTTAATGCTAAAAAAATATGCATCATAGGGAATTTATACTAATTGGCATCCACCTACTGTAATGTTTAAGGTGAGAATATAAGTGCCTTAGCCTTATAGGTTAAAAAGTCAAAATAATAGAATTGTGCATACTTAATATCCTACTTTATATCCTCCTCTGGATGTTTGCAGAAATAACCTTAAGTCATTGTTAGTCTCATACACTCTCACTGTCCGCTTAGCTTTTGGAAAGACAATAACCTCCATATTTTTTAAACAAAGAAAGGAAACCCTTCCCCCTTACAGCAGATAGTTCTTTTGTGCATGAGAAAATTTCTCTTTTTGAGCACTCTATAAAAGAATAAAATTTGATGACAGATCCAGGGCTATGGTTCGTTACTAATTTTCTTTTCTTTCTACTCGTCATTTTCTTGTAAATGAAGGTGATGTTTTGTGTTATGGGTATTAACCTGATTTAATGTTTTTATGAAGGTTACCATTCCAGGAAGGCTACAATTCATAAATTAGTTGTAAAAATGTCCTCAATCAAGTGATGATATCTTTGCAAGAAAGTTTGACTCAATTATACCTGACTTAATAACCTAAACTGAATACATAGAAACTTGAAATTTATTTGTTCTCCCTCTGAGGTGTGCATCAAAGTTTTGATGGCAGGCTTGAAGTACAGGTTCAGAGGAAATGAGCATGCTTATGTGTGTTTTCAACACTAAAACAACGACTGTGACTTCCTAGAATAATTTTACTAGCTGCTGTACAGGTACAGGCATGTGTTGCAAAAAAATTTTGCGTAGCTTTTTTATTAATATGTATTTCTTTTTCTAAGAATCTTCTTTATCTGGCCTACGCTGAATTCTAATTTTTCAACCAAATTTTGTATTATCTTTAATATCAGATTAAATCTCCTTAAGTATCAGTTAACAACAGGTCTTTTTAATTTTTTTATAATTACATGAAATCTTGCAGATTTATGGCAAATTAATTTTAGCTCTTACCCTAAGATATCAACATTTTATTAGTGTAGAGATTGGTATTTGTATAAAAGTATAGTCAATTAAACTTGTGTGCACAGCCCATGCATCAAATTTATGTTAATATTGTATACTTCCTGAAACTAGTTTATCAGAATAACAATGAGTTACGTATGGCTTTCCACAATGATAGTTTCAAAAGCATTAAAAAAGTAATTTTCCTCATGATTACAAGATCCTAAATCTGCTGACCTGCTTAAATCCTTAGTACCTTGCCTTGACAGCCCAACCTCAATAAAAAGTCATTAACAGGAGGGAAAAGCATACTTGTGACACAAACAATTGAGCCTCTTCACACATACACCCTCCTCAATCTTCTTTGCTCATATTCTGAACATCTAATTTCAGACATGGTGTATATGCAACAACTTATCCATTTCCCTGCATAATTATTTCATAATGGTAATTACAATTTGTAGAGAGGGCCGGTTGGGTTGAAATATATTTCAAAGATTTGCCAGCTTGTCACAACATATTTAGTATAAAAAAGGAAGACAAACCTGAACATTCAATGCAAAACCTGAGTTGTTGCATGAGCTGTACAATAAATGACCGACTAAGCGTTGAAATCTTAACTTTATTTCTGTTGCATACCCCAACCACAGTGCATGCTAACAAATGATTTTAGTCTAAGCCAATCAATTGATGATACTCCCACATATTTACAATGGCCTAATTATTACCTTATGAATAAAACAAACGAGTGTATCACGACTAATGTAACAAGTATTCGGCAAGGACGCGACGAACTCTCACGCGATAGGGCTGATAAACTGCATCACTAACGCCTAATAAATCGAGTACATTTACGCAAGCTATGTTGTTGTCAACAACAATCCGTTGGTTGCTTCACACGAGCTTGCTGACCTGGCCTAGCCGAGTACGTGATTGAATCAAGCTATTTTGAGGGCCTAGCGACAAACTGCTTTACGTACAATAGCATCTTACTCAGGCTGACAACATTGATTAAGGTCAACCCAAGAGCAAGTCTGATCTTTGTCCTGTTTCCATATACATTTGAATGGTGGTAATGATCAAATATACCGGAGGTCAATGAATTTATGATGCGGTTTCTTCCATCGGTGTTCGATGAATTCCAGTTGACACGAATAGAAACCAGTCTTTTCCATCGGAATAATCGATTTTCCGATGGTGAGAGACTTAAGAAAAAAAATTAGTGTTTAGTTGTAGTAATATGCATGTATAACTTATAGCAACAAAGCCCTAGAGGCAGATCGCAGCTGCACTCGAAAAATGCTGTAGCGTTGCTATCTGCGACCAGTTTTTTGATTGTGTAAAACAGAATACAAAGAGACTGCAAATAAATTTTATCCACATTCATTATGAACACAGTTTTATTCCTAGACATGTTTGCAGCGAAATCCATTTAGATCCCTACTCGGTCCGTTAAGCAGCGATATTCTAAAAAATCACAATTGAAACGATCTAACTCGATCAAACGAGTACCTGTGAGAGTAAATGAGATCTGTGAACAGTTCAACCGAAGGGCATCAAGGACAGCAACTAACTATTTCAAAAAAATTATTAATAAGTTTCGAGATTTATACTGAGTGATAGATAGATGTATTGCTTATACAAGCATGTGGTTCTTGGAATGAAGGTACCTCAAAACCAGATTTTTTTTTCGTGTTCAGTCAATCAATCACTGGTCTTGATATCATACCTGGGGAATCTTTTAGAAGTGATGATTCAAGGAACCCACCAAAAATTGCACTGCAAAACTTTCAAAAACTTTCAGAATTATCCAAACTTGGTAGATTTATTTGTCTTTCTAGGTTTTACTTTGAGTTTCTACCGTTCTTTCCATAAAACCTCGTAATTTCTATGGAACCTCGTAATATCAATAATTTTGACTCATGTAGTATACACATCGTTTTGCTGTAGGGTGATTGGTCTCAGGTGAATGACCACTGGATGCTCGTAGGATTTGATGTAAGGGCGAAAATTACATCTATACAAAATGCTGCCTTGCTTTTTTGTTCGTCTAATAAATTATGTTTGTTAGATGACATTTTTAATCTGTGGTTACTTTATTTTGGCCTTTTTGGTTTGTTTTGATTTTTTTTTGTTTTGGTTTTGTCATTTGGCTTTTCTCTTTAATTGTATACAGCTGTAATTAGGCAATTTCGTCTGCTACTGTGCTCGGTTCTCCTCAGTTTCGGAAGTTGTACTGGTGGGTTGGATTATTTTTCTTTTTGGATTTTTGGGCAAAGCCGAAGGTGATAATGTTATAATCTCAAATAATCAAAAAATAATTGTTCCCAGATTTCAAAAGAAAAATATTGATAGGCGTAGATTATCAAGTACGTCATTATACAGACACCAATATGCACTACATGCAACAAAGTTGAGAGCTAATGTATTTTCAGATTTATCTGGTCTAAGGAGAAAAAAATGCGGCATTGCTGGTTGACTTCGTGCGAGTTCCAATAGAGTTGAAAGGCCATGTCATTGGTTGACATCGAGCCATGCTAAATGAAATAAGCGAGCTTTCTGGAATCCCAATTGATCCCGGGAGCAGACATCAACTAGGGTTTACTATCGCTGGAAACATAGAGGGAATAGATATGGCCAAACAGCTTATATCTGGAAAACTGGTCAGTTCAAGATACGTTGTTGTGTTAAGATTATCATTACTTCATATCTGTGTCCTTTTAAAGGCAGCTGCCCCAGCCAAACTGGAAATACTTCCGGTTAGGTTGTTTTAAGTTCTTTCGAAGGATAATTCTTGATGAGCTGTTCGACGATCGTGTTAAAATCAAGAGCTGCCACTTATCGAAGAGCTAACACTGCTTGATACCCATGGGAAGTCGTGGTTTTGATAGGAGACGATCAAATGACTCGAAAGGAGGGTAAGAAGTTATAGTAAAGTTATCGAATCAACTTTTAAATTGTTGCTTGTAAACGTCTTTCACTTTCCTATTTAGGTGCAAAAGTAGTATAGGGAACTGTTTTGCTTTTTTTTTTCCTACCCTATTCGCTGATTGAGGGTTTTTTTCTTAACATTAATTTTGAATTTGTCCTCAATTGGTTTCTGAAATTTTTTACGAATTAATATTTCCTCATCAGATCTTGTCTTACTTCGATTTCCAATATCACTTATTCTCTGCGTGTCCCCATACAAACGGATTCTTTATACAGTCCCAGTGAAATCAGAGACAACGCGAAAGTTTTATTTTCCTAAGGAACAAAATCATAAACCAGATCAATTTGAAAACTAGGGGATCTGCAAGTGCAAATATCCGTTAGAGTTAAAAATATAAAACTGTTTTAATGGGGCCTTAAACTGCATTTTAAGAAGTAAATCTAGAATCCAAGCTTTCGCCGACCAATGGCATCATCACTCACCACCCCGATGATGCCGTTGATCGGCGAAAGCTTGGATTTTAGATTTTACTTTTTAAACAGCAGTTCAAGGCCCTATTAGAACAGTTTAATGTTTCTTATTATGCCGCTGAAGGAAAACATGAACAGATCCGTTAGAGTGTTTATAACCAACATACCTACATATTGTGATGTCGCGCGACCAAAATACCACAGTGACATGATGCAATTTTTTTTCTAGTCACGATACCGTATAATGCATAAATTGAAACAGTTTAAATCAGAACACGTACAAATTATCTAACAAAAGCAATTTAATACAATCGTGACGAAGCTCAGGGCCTTATTGCCCTCATTATACTCTTGGATAAACATTCTTTCCTTACTGAACTTGAAACTAGTTTTGTGTGAAGTTTTTAAAACTTTTTAAATTAACCTGGTTTGTCAATTTTACAACAGGTGTATAGTCAATGCTACGAGACATACACAGTCACTAAGACCTCATGTTCCATTGTGACGTATTGGTATATTCTATCTATATTCCAGGAAATAGAGACTTTGTTTTCCGTAAATATTGGTTTAAGACACTCAATTATTTCTCAAGCTTGTCCCACGCAGATACCTTTTCATTGTTACATTGTTTATATGCTTGGAGAGCCTGAGAAAGGTAAAAGCACTGAGTGTACCAGGAATTTATGGGGTGACGCACTTTGATTGTATCTTAACAATGATCTTCTGGACTCAGACGCATAGCATATTTCGCCATTAAAAACATTTTACTTCGTTATTACATTAAACAAACACGGAAGTTGTCATTTTGCCCTGCGTGACTCGCCCTTCATGATATTCGCTGATAAAGTCTATTAGACTGCGCATGTCTACGCGCCAAAGACCATACCATAAACGTAGGATAGTTAGGATTCAACAAACATACATGTGCGAAATGAGGTTTAATTACTCTGTTATGGTCAAATCAAGAAAGGGCAATGTACTGAATTAGCTAGGTATAGACTGTATGATAAGCTTAACTTTACACGCATTTTGATGCAGCCGCATAGTATGTTTCGCCATCAACAACATTTTACTTCGTCATGTTGCCCTGCTTCTGTTCAGTAATAGATCACGGGAGAATGAAGTAAGACCATCGTTGAATTCATTTGTCGATTAGAGACCTGGTGCACTGGTAAAGAATTACTTTAGCAGAGAATATATTACTCTTATTCGCGCCAGTATGAGTCATGGAAGATACAAATCACATTCGATCAAATAATTGATTGATGAAGTATTAATTATGGTGCAATTACTTTCTCCCATATGTTATCCTCATGAGGAAAAAAAGTATCTCATGGAGGAACAGCTTACAGTTGTCGATGATCCCGTGATTTGATGCATCGTATAACAAGCTGATTAAATTTTCAAGCTTCTTCGTTGCTGCGGCGCAGTTCACTGCAAATAAGACTCTGAACTTGTTTAACAAATTGAAGAAATTCAGATAACTTCGCAACGATGTCTTCAGGTTTCCAATTTTCATTCTTTAATTGTTCGTCCCAGTCTTTGCAGTGTAGATGCAGATCGACCTGCAAAAAAAAACGTTTTTATCAGTAAATAGCCATAGGTTTACATGCTGAAAATAAATTTTGTCAACAAAACATTGAAAATTGAAACTTTCCTTGATTGGCCAAAATGGACACTGCGATTACTCGTGAAAGCGATTATTTATTTCATTACAAGTGTATAAATTGCGTGTGTCTGATTCAATATGCGAGGATGCTAGTCACAATAATGATGACCATCATAATTTTTGTACCGTTTCTCTTTCCTCTTTTTCCTCTATATCGTAAGATAACGACATCTCCTTAGAAAGGATAACGAAAAATCCAGCTTGTGGTTCGAACACAGTTCGATGAGAACATCGTCTGTGACGTAGAAATATTTCCTTTGACAAAGTTTCATCGGCGGGGAGATTTGGTCCATTTACTTCATCGTCTTCCGTGAACGTAAAAGTTAGCTTGGACAGATATGATAACAGAGCTTGTCTTTCATTTTCGTCAAGATCAGCATAATCGGTAGACACGGCATCATCTAAAAGAAAAACATGATTGTTATGTCTTTGGCCAAGTTAAACAAACAAGGCTAAGAGCATGCATCATCTACTGAAAAGCAATGTTTTATTTAAATCTGAGGTGATCTGCATTTTTTAAATGGTATTTTAAGTTTCGTACGTTGTGGCATTAATTTCGATCAGAAGTTTGAAAAACATTTATGGTTCTTTACATTCATCCAGTACTTTCATTATTTTATCTATTTACTTATTGGTAGATTTATTGGCAAAAATAACCAACTAGCAAACTTGACTCCTTGAGAGTTCAAAGTTACACGGACCGGCAAACTGAAATTTAGTACAGGACGTGTTCCTGATAACGCTTATACAGCGTGAAATGACGAAGTACTCCCAACGGGTACTTTATGTTTCATGGCAGACATAGCTTTTAAAAACGCATTTTACGTTTGATTACCTAAATTTTGGCAGCTTAAATTATTATTGATCACTGAAAAAAAGAGTGAATGACTTAAATACATAAAGTTACTTAAATAAAGTTCACCATTTCGTTTCCGTAAAGTTATTCTGCAATCAAGTTCGCTTCCAGGAAACAAAATGTCAGCCTGTAGAAATCTGCGAGATGGAAGGGCCAGCCATCCTCGACACCTTGAGCGTGTTTTTTCATCTTCAAAATAAATTTCCTCCAATATATTTTTGACGTCGCTAAAGGGGACTGCCTTCTCTTTCACTGCTTTGTCAGAGTCCTTGTTCAGTACCCATATCTGTTATACATAACAGTACTTAAGTAAGTAAGTAAGTAAGTGATGTCTTTATTTAATGAAGGTGACATAAAAACTAATAACGTAACGGCCCAATTACTTCAAGTGAAACATTTTTTATATTAGTGGATACAAGATTATCACTAGATTCATCTTAAATTCCGTAATTCATGCTTTGGGTTACCATCTCAAGTGTCATTCCGCAATCATGCAGCCAAACAAATGTGGGTGCTTACATCCAAGGGTTTGAAATAGCTTCGTAAGTTTTGAAACGAGCGTAACTGAACTGAACTATATAAAGGCTACTAAAAAGTGGATTTAGTTTTCCGTGAACTATGAATTTAGCCAAACGTACGTAGTTTTGAGAGACCAGTAGGTCCAGAATCTTAAGAATTGGGGTATAAAATCAAGTTTTGAGCCGGTTGAATTTTCCTCCCTGCCATCCTTCTACGTACCTTGCCTCTCAATTCGTGTCCACTGGACACAACGAAGGTCAAGTCATATCTTGCATGATATTCTCTGCGGTATTTCTGACCAAAGTTTTTCTCTAAGACTTGCTGATCAACATTGACACCTTCCTTAAATGCGATTTTCCAGTAATCCTGTCCTTCCTGAGGTTGAAATTTTTCGTTGCTTCTTCAATACTCCATTGTTCTTCATCTGAAACCTCCGCTGTAATCAATCGAGCGTTTCAAATTTTACTTCTGCAGGTTTAGCCGGAGTGGATTTCAGATCTTATAGATTAGAACGCCACCAGCGAGTTTTGAGTACATTTTGATCATTATTCTTACCATCATTTAGATAAGTGATCAGCAAAGTTAGGAGATAGCTGCAGTAGATTTGACTTTATGACAATTTATTAAGGTTTATTACATATTTATTCATGTTGAATGGATAATTTCAAACTGATGAGTCAATACTCGTAAAAAGAGAGAACTGTAATAGTCTTTTGTAACAAATTATACTCAGTAACTTTACCTTCATCGGGTCCGCGGATCACTACCTTTCCAAAATGACACCACATGTCGGCCTTCAACCCCTTTTCCCTTTTAATTCTGCGCAGAGATTCCAAAGCATCTTCTTTTAGTCTCAACTCGTATGCCGTGCTATCACTACAACTTGATTCCTTGATAAGAGAAAACAGAGGAAAACTTTTTACTGATTGTATCTAATAACTAACAACTATTCACCAAAGTGGAGGTGGCTAGTGGGGGATATTTATCTCGCCGCTTCGAGGCTCGATAAATATCTTCTGCCAGCCATCGACACTGTGACTAATTGTTGCTTCTTATATACTTAAACAGTGAGATAAAAATAACTCAAAAAGATGACTATAACTCAACTATTCCGCAACGATTACGACATTTTCGAGCGCAAATTCCGCGTGAGTTGCTCGGCGGTAAAAAGCAAAGGATAACCAGAGTTTGACTAGCGAATCAAAGCGCGTCTTCAACGCTATCCACTCATATTGGTATATTCTAATAGTCGTTGGTGGTTCTCCCTTTAACCTGTAACGGGTTTGCACCATTATAACTCATTGCAGATATAACTTATGGCGAATAAGTGCTCTGTTCTTTCAGAGCTGCGCTACTAATTTACCACCTTGGAAAAGTGACAACTGATAGAGATTGATGATTATGGATATGATAGTTTCAAGGTTGGTGCTAGCATGTTAAAGCACACTATAAGAAATATCTGAAAACATCATAACTGAGAAAAGGAACTTAACAACTATATCACAAAACAAATCAAAGACATCATCGTCAATACAGTAAAAATAAAGTAACGAAAACCGCTAAGAACAAAAACAAAAAACAAAATCAAAAATAAAACCTAAAAAACTCGTCTTCACCGTTGAATTGTCGTCTTCAGAAAATGAACAAACCTGCAGAGGTTCATATTCCTCAGTCGGTAGCAGTCGATAATGTTCATCCTTTTCCAGAAGACCCAACCAACTATTCTGAGGCTTCAGCATTAACTCAGAGTTTTCTGGAAGATTCCAGCCATCGATGTAGCAACAAACCTTGTTACAAGGCTTTTCAACTCCCCTTAGTCTTGCCCCTGCCTTCACATAAAATAATCAAGGAGTTAAAATATACTTATATTGAGTAAGAGGAATGGTACGTTTTGAGCCCGGTAAAGAAATAGAGAAATATGTTTTTTTTGTCTTGTCATGAGTGTGAGACAAAGTAAAAAATTCTAAGTCCCCATGAGGAATCGAACCTCAGATCTTTCGGATGCCGCACTCCGATGCCCTACCATTAAGCCACAGTGACTCTAAAGTGAGCGAGATCCATTACGAAGTTCATATAGAACACGCGTCCTGCGTGTCTGCTTACCATCTCTCTCAATCTATTTACAAACATGACGCTATCGACATCGCTGATCTCAGTAGTATGCAGGACGCGTGTTATGTAAGAACTTCGTACTGAGCCTCGCTCACCGTGGAGTCTCTTAGTGGTAGAGCATCAAAGCGCAGAACCCGAAGATCTGATTTTTTTCTCTTTGTCTCACGCTTGTGACAAGACAAAAAACATCATTCCTAAACTTATACTGCAATCAAAGAAGGTAACTTAAATTTTGGATTGTCATTACAACCAGCAGTGGGATATTGTGACAGTGCAAGGTCCACAACATTTAGTTCTTTTCCCGACATAAATATATTATAACGATTATGGTTAAGGATTGCACTGACCCATCAGTTTTACTAATTATAAAAAATGAGAGCGTCAGCACTGGAAAATGTAGCTTAAGTCTGCGGAAAATTGCCTAACAGGCTTTTCATTCATTTTCTGCACAACCATTGTTTATCCGTGAACCGATCCTCTCCGTGGCCTGTATTGCAGCTATACATCTAAGACCACTCTGAGAACCAATTAGATTGCACATTTCGTGCTGATGAACAGATCCCTTGACTTGCTCACGTAAATTCGTTTCCTGGCAAAGACAAGACGAAAGAATTTCCTTCCATGGAATTTTACCCACGAAATAGTATGATGTTTGTTTATTTTTTAACAGTTGGCAACGAGTAAAAAAAATATACCAAACAATTGTTCCAGAAAACTTTTATGTTAAGTTGTGAGTTCGAATTGATCATGTCGACTGACCTGTAGACCACATTCTAAGGTGATACTCACCACTATACTCCAAATACGTAATTTTGTCATATCTCTTTGAGACTTGGTACCAGTCGTTATATAACATTCTCCTTCTATACGAATCATCGTTGCCCCAGTCTGTGTGCTTATTTTTTTGAGGGTATCGCCTCCCACACCAAAGACGATTCCTTTGTACTTATCTGGAATTTTTACCAGTTCACCCGGAGATCCTTCAGTTTTCCTTCTCTTAACTTCTTCCTGTTAAAATCCCACAGAAAACAAAGACCCACGAGATGAAAAACAACTCATGATACAGAGATACCAAAAACTTGTCGAAAATTGTACAACTATTAACGACTCAAGGTCGGCATCCTTGTGCTTCCACTCGTGGTTGTCAAAGACAGTGTAAGGGACTGAAATTTTTATTCGGGAAATATTCTATTTATCTAACAGTCGTGTGATTAAGTAAAAGTAAAAGGATAGCCGGATGGAATTCCAGGTCCATCCCAGAGTTGTTTCCTTAATAGTACGGTGAACATTTACGGAATCATTCCCGTTTTTAAACGGATTTTTTTAATTTGAAACTAAGGGATGGCCTGATGCAATTGCAGGTCCTCTTCAAAGTTGCTTCCATTTACAGAAAATTTACGGAATCGTTCCAGGTTTTAAATTACTTACCACTTTTTCTGAGATTAATCTCTTCGCAAGCGTTATTTGTTCCCTGTTTCCAGTGATAGTAAATCCTTCCTCATCTCTGCTCCTTGAAGTGATATTTGCCGAAGAACTCTTTCTGATCTCCTTTATCACTAGTCCTCCCCTTCCAATAACATGACCTTTGAGTTCCTTGGGAACATGCAAATATTCGTTCTCCATTGTTCTTTCAGGATTTGTTACTACAGTCTGGAGCTATCATCTGAAAACCCCGGAAAATGGGTTTGCTCTATGGGCAGTTTTCCAAACTAAAGTCGACGTTGGAAAGTAATCATCTTTGTCAGAGTTGTCAGAGGAAGTATTCCGTCTTGATGTTTTTTAATTTAAAAATATATTTTGACTGCGTTAATTTACAATTTTGGTCCGAATAACTTACAAGATTGCTATTTGCACATGTACTGCATCGTTTCTTATATCGTATTGCAAATGTAGCGTACAGCATCTAGGAGATTTTTAGTATTTTAGTATCCGAGTAGAGGAAATTTAAACAAATTTGACAAAACGGCTGTGAAATTATACTTCACCGATAATCATTAGTTTTTAAACGTAATGATCACGCAAGTGATGACCTCATTATCAAATTTGCTTTAAATATGATTGTAAATATTACTTTTAAATCTAGACAATGCCGAACCATTCTTTGATAAACAATAACAAAGCTAGAATACACTTTTTTGTCAAGATTGTCGCCAAATGTATTCGAAACGAAGAGCCTCGTCTTGAATGAATATTTGATATGATTGCCCTACCGTTTTCCTTTTGATTCCATACGATCGGGGATGCTCGTAAAATTAATTTATCCAGCTTAAGATCGATACAGCACGAGAAGTGATCGAGATACAGCCGGAAGTACTTCCGGTGTTGCCAAAATCTTGGTCGAATCTCAAAGTAAAAAGCTCTATTCGGATTTCTCAAAAGCTGGAAATAATGGAATCTTTTTCCGGCTCACTTCTGCCAAAGGCAAACGTTCAAAAGGAATAATCGCTAGCTAAAGCCCTCTCTTCTCATTGGCATTCGTTGCGTTCTGTCGGCTGCAGATCGTCTTCAGAGCCCGCGGTACACCTTCCAGCGAAATAGATTAACTGATTCATGTACCATGCATCAGATTTCCCGACAATAATATTTTTTAATAATTTGCTGTCAAATCACTTTCAATCCAAGCAATCTTCAAATGCTTTCTTTGGCAATCCGTAGTGTCTACGAAAGGACAGTAGAAACTGTCATCGCACATTCCTTTAATCAGACCCTTAATAAAAGATAAAATTCTTACGAATGAAGGAAGACGTGTTCGTCTAAAGCGTTAAATGGTTAATAAGAAAAGTAAATAATAAATAAATGAATGCAAATGTTACAATAAAACTGATTCCTCAGAACAAACGTATTTTGCCTATATTGTCAGAAGGCTGGCGTTTGAAACCAATATTTTTCAAGAAAGTTAATTAAATAGTACTCTGAGAAAAGGATCCTGATAGGAAAAAAAAGAGATGTAGTTGCTCTACTTTCTTCATGGATGAATTCAGGATAGGGATTACAAATATGCGAGACGTAAAAAGTAAGGAATGGAAACATACTTGCAATGACATCATACTCAGGCTGACAACATTGATTAAGATTAGAAAAAACTCTCAAAGACAGTGCTGAGCGTTGGTCAGGTAACGAGAATTTCCTTTTCCAATTAACGTCCAGAAATTGACAGAGAATAGTAAGCAAAGTGGCTACAAATACAGAGGACCAGACTAACGTGAAAGCGTTGCGTTACATTTTCTCAGGATGCATTGCGGTCGTGGTTAGCACTGTAGTCAGTTGTTAGACTTCAATCCCGGAAGTATCCAGAGATGACTCCGAGTGGATCGATTTGAATATTTTTAAGCATAGCCACTGTTTGTTAAAGAATATTGCACTAAGGAGGTGATGTGGTGAGCATAAAGTGTATTTGGGTTCGTTATGACCGAGAATAATGGTAGCAATGATCAATTTATAATCGAATATGCAGCGAGCCGTTTGTGTAATCATTGTTGGTACACGCAATTTCGGTCAACCAAGGAGCGATATCACTTTTTGAGTTTCGCTTCTGAGGTAAAATTCTATGATGATCGAGTCGTCACTGTTTATGTTTGCGAAAATTTCAATTTATCTAATTTTATGAAACGCTTCATCCTAACATTTTGGTGGACATTTTAGTGAGTTAAGTTTTATTGTTAAAATCTGTCTGTGTTATGTTTAATCGTGTCCGGCAGAAGAATTTGATTTTAAGTATAGGCAAGTCGCATAACGTTCTCTATTATACGTCATACCCAAAGTCGTGACTGAAGTTAGGAAAGTTCAGAAATAGTAACTTCGGGACGATGTTTTAAAATTGCTTGGGCTAGGGTTTAAAAAAAACTCGCGTGTTGAGTTTATTCTTTATATTGAGTTAGTGTCCGGCAGAAACGTTATAAGCGAGCCATTAAAACAAAATGAAAGTAATATAAATGTTTAACCGGCATTAACCTATACATTCGAAATGTTGTAACGTTAGTACGCCCGAACAATTTCACCGATTACGTGACGGAGAATATAGCATAATTGCAAAGTAATTTCATCTACGGCAATTGAGAATGCAACTATATTCCTAGACGAAAGGGTAAATAGTGAATCTATACAGATCCCCACTCGCTCCATTGAATTGAGATATACGATTACCTGTGAGAGTACACAAGATCTCTGAACAGTTCAACCGAAGGGCAGAACCTGACTATTATATTTTCAGAATTAATAAGTTACGTGATTCATACTGAATGATATATCGACGTTTTGCATAATTATTCATGCACGCGAGCGCTGGGAATGAAGGTACCTCTATATTTTTCTGTGATGAGTCTAGTTTGTTTGTTTGTGTAATGAATGGTCTTCTGTTTTATGATTTATTTATCTTTTTTCGATTTGTTTTGATTTTGTCATTTGGTTTTTCCTTTCAATTTTAAACAGCTATGAAAAGGGAATTTAGTTTGATATTGTGCTCGTCTCTCCTCAGTCTTGGATGTTGTTTGAGTGGGTTGGTTTGTTTTTCTTCTGTTTTTTTTTTTTTTTTGTTACAATCTCAGATAACCAACAGTGTCATTAAAACGAAAAATGATCACTCTTTGATTTCAAAGGAAAATATTTAAGAGGTATAGATTATCGAGTACGTCATGATAGAGACCGAGACAGACTTATACAAAACGCAAAAGAATTTAGAGACAAATTTTAGAGATAAATTTGAAAGTAAATTAAATTTTTTTCAGATTTATCTGGTACCAAGGAGAGAAAACTATGGATGCATCGCTGGTTGCCTTCGTGCCGGTTCCAATAGAGTTGAAAGGCCATGTCATTGGTAAGCATCGAGTCGTGCTTAATGAAATGATTGAGCTTTCTGGAACCACAATTGATCCCGGGAGCAGAGATCAACCAGGGTTTACTATAACTGGAAACGAAGAGGGAATAGAGATGGCCAAACAGCTTATATCTGAAAAACTGGTCAGTTCAAGACACGTTATTGTGTTAAGATTAACATTACTTCATATTGTGTCCTTCGTGAATTTTCACTTATGTTCAGAAATGTACACAGTAGGAAAAATGTCAGATTTAAGGAAATTTCGTCAAATCGAGTTCATTGACTCGACGATTTTTATGAATTTCAGTCAAATTCGTGAAAGCGAAATCAGCTTGGCGGATTTCACGATTTTGACGAATTTTCACCATTCTTCGTAACTGCATGCATTTCTGGACATATCTCAGAATTTTGACGTTGACAGCTCTTTTAAAGGCAGCTGACCAGAGCAAAACTACCTCCGTAAATTTCATTTTTGCAGGAGGAGCTGAAAGATAATTGGGACGAGCTGATTGAAATTCCAGATAGACACAAAGGCAGGGTCATTGGGAAATGGAAAACTAAGTTACGCGAGCTAGAAACCGAAACAGGAGTAAGACTTTTTGTCAAGGAACGAGAGGTATATATAGTCCGTGGAACAGAACAACAACGGCGACGTGCAAAAATTAGCATTGGAAAAATTGTGGTATGAACTAATTTATTCCTTGATAATCATTCACAAAGCGAGACCGCTGTAGGAGCGTGATTTAGGATAGTCTTGCTGAACTCCGGAGAGTAGCAGCCTAAGAATGAAAAGAGAAAAAAACGATGGCATTTATCAAGTGTGGTAAACAGGAGCCGCTTATTGCAAACTGAGTAGTAAACCCTAGAACTCGTGCCCTTTTTTCGAAGAAAAAAAATGTGTTTTCTGTATGGTAACCACTTAGAGCTAACTCGATAATTCGCCAAGATACGTGATGTTTAAAATCCTGCTTCTGGTTAAATGTATCGTGTTTTCTTTTCCCTGCGTCATGTCTTAGTATGCCCTTGAAATGGTTTCTTCGGCCTTTTGTTTGTTTTATGGGCCAGTAACTGTTGAAGACAAACCTCTTGGAGTTCAAAATTTTTAAATGAAACATAACAGAACTGTGAATTATCGAGAAAAATAAAAACAGTCAAAAAATTCTTAAAATTTAGGGAAAAACTCAGACTTTCAGCTTTCTGTAAATTTATTCAATCCTTGAGGATGTCAGGGTGGGTAAGGTGAGAAAGCGATCAATTTTAGGGCGTGAACGATTCAAGCATATGTTTTAATGTTTGTCAGCTGTTCAAATTAATTAAGTATCAAAAGTTCAATTATCAAGGTGTTAAATTTCCACAAAAAGCGTTTATCGCCGTTAGTCTCTGCCCTTTATCAGAAGGAGAGAATACACGCAGAGCACGGTGAAAAATTTTGGCTGACCAATTCCGGTTTTAATCAATCCTCAGCGAAAAGTGATCTAAAGTTCGGACTGTGACTGAGGTTTCTTTATTTTCATTGTAAACTAATTGATTTATCACAAGCTGAATACTCGTGTCGGGTTTAAGCCAATAACTGTGCTTGCAATGTGCTGGTTAAAAACCTACTTTGTGATTGCATTTTACCTTTTTCTGAGCACTGGTAACGATGCCTTTAAACCACCAGGCTGAAGCAAGAATGAAGGATTTTGAAAACGAACTTTATAAAGTTTGCTCCTATGTCGATGGCTGTCATCTTCCTGTGAACTGTAAACTCAAGCTTGAGGAGACACCAGAAGAGGATCACACCTATTATCGGCTGAAGCCAGCTGAGCACTTTGAAAGGGAGGTATGTTTCATGTCAAACTTCCGCAGGGAAAAACTATGCACGTGTTTGAACACGTTAAACCCGTATTGAACTAGAAATGGACGGAGGAATACTGTGATAGCTGACCTTTTCTGTGATTTATGCTCGGCGTTTTGAATTCCATGCTTATACAGACTACGAATTTCAAACCATGAGATCCGTGCTATCAATACCCAATTGTCATCCCAGGTCTCTTTTTCCGCCCCTTTGACAAATTTCAAAAATCGTACGCTGTATCAATTTCATTATTTTATCGCGAATTTACACTCTTTACTCCAAACGCAAATTTAAATCTCGGCAGGATTCCTACAATAACTGGAACGACACCGTGTATCAATCAAATCTTGGGGATGAAGTTTTGATCTCTCTAAGGAAGATTATAAATAACGTGGAAACAGCTGAGAATCCGAAGGTCGACATGTGGTGCCATTTAGGAACCTCCCTTATTAGAGCACCTGGTGAAGGTAGTGTTCATTTCTCTCTTTCATTGATGAATATCAAAAATCCATCCTGTTTAAAAGTTGTTTTTTTTCTGCTATGTTGTCTCTTCCTTGTCGTCCTTCTCGCCGTTTCTCCTTCGCGTTCTCTGTGATGTTCTCTCTTTTTTGTTTCCCGTGTGCACTTTGCATTTCCTTACTGATAACACAGACCTGGCTGACTTGTCACACCTCGCGAGACTTACAAAGTGGTTTATTTATCAACACATTTAAAATTTAAGTGTCCTTTTTGATATCGTAGAAGACGTTCTCCAACAAACGTGGAGTATCGAGGAGATAACAGAAAAGTTTCAGAAGCCCGATGAAGGGGAAAGTTTTTGGAAAGTTTCTTTTACCCAGCGAGACGACATTCCAGAGGATATCTTTAAAAGAAATGGCTACGTAGAGATCACTGAAGACGACGAATATATCTCCAGATATGACCTGACATATCTGACACCCTGCTTTCATAAACTTAGGTGTAAGGTAAGTTACAGAGATCTTTTGTCTCTTTTCTTCCTGGGCAGACAACGAACGTGTGTAATGCGTAATAGAACTCCTAAGTTCTTTTGTTATATTTTTACACTAAACTCAATTAATTTGCTTTGCCCTTTGACGGCTTGTCACTAGATGGCCCATTTATTGACTAAGCGAATGAAGACTTTCCACACCGATCATGCTTGTGCGAAGGGAGAGATTCATTTGAACACGAAGTAGTTGACGCATTTTTCAATGTCACCAGCACGTTTACTGAATTTCTTAGGGGCACTGCATTCTTTTGTGTTTGTTTGTTTTTTTTTTTTTATATTTGATATAGTTTACGGCGGGAAAGCGTACATTAATACTCAATATCCAAAAGTATGTGATAGCCGTCCAAACTTCACAATCAATACAGTCACTAGGGTAATTTAGTATTATCAACTGAGATGATAACGAAATTGACCACCGTATATAGCTGACGTTTCGAGCGTTAGCCCCTCGTCAGAGCGACATTCACTCTGACTTCGTCATCTCAACGACCCAAACCGCAAAATCATGTCTGAGAGACTGATTAGGTTGTTTGCTATACGGCATGCTGCTTATAAGTGACTGGCTGACTTAATGACCAACTGGCTGACTGACAGTTTAATTTACTGACTCACCGACTGATCAAGGCTGGCTGATGGAATAACCGACCGACCGACCGACCGACTAACTAACGCACTGACTGACTCTCTCACTGACTGCCAGACTGACAGGTGGAAGGACTGACCGAAATGACTAATGAAAAAACGACCGGACAAAGAACCAGATAGAAGGACAGACTGGGACACAGTTTCTCTCTGTTTCCACGTCGGTTTTCTCTCTCCCAAACTTTAGGTGGGCCAAAAATTGAATCATAAATCTACACCCCATTACATACTGTGCTTTTTCCCCTTTATTAATGTGACAGGTGTGGGTGGCAAAGAGTAACATAAAGAAAAGGCTGGAAGATATACCAATCCCTTTCAGTGACGTTAAAAATGTACTGGAGGAGATTTATTTCGAAGATGATTTGACACGAGCACGCTGTCGTGGATGGCTCGTACTTAAATCTCGAAGGCATTTGCAGAGCGACATTCTGTTTCCTGGCTGCGAGCTAGACTGCAGGTTCACTATGCGTGAGCGAAGAGGCAAGACTAACAATTTGTGTTTAGTTGTGATCGTTATAGTCATATGTAATCATCAATCATTTATTTGTTCATTCATTCATTAATTCCTCTATCCATCCTTCGATCCGCCTGTTTGTCCTTCCATTCATCCCAACAACCATTCATTCATCCTTTTTCATTCATCCTTGCCCTGATTAGCTTTCGAAGGCTCTTTCCTACGGCACAATGGCATTGTTTTATACAGAAAAGAACAACTGCATTTATGCAACTTCGATAGGGTCGTGGGACGTGGTTTCCAAACCGGAAGCAAGACAGAATTAATGATTTTTTTCTCTGGTTTTGAATCATTGTCTATCATAACGTGAATTTTCCATTCCTCTGGTGATAGATCTCTTAAACTTCCATCCACGCAATAGAGACCGGCTGGTGACAGAAAATCAGCCAAGAAAACTCAATATATTTTAAACATACTGAGATTTACACGCTGAAAGAAGGCCGAGTAAATTTTCTTCTCTGAGTAAGTTTGCGTCATTTACTGCATAACATCTTCCTCCACTTAAATCACCTGATCTAAGATTTACCATCTTCATTTACACCACAATCAAACTTAAGCATCCTATATTCATATTCCTATGTCCTTGATAGGCAAGCACTTCTGTTTCCCAGAGGCTTTCATTCTTCTTTTAACCAATTACGTCCTTCATTCATCGATACAACATTCATCCATCAATCTTTTAACAATGTATTCGTCCTTCCCATTTTACTGTCACCGTTACCAAGTAGACTTTTGATGCGATTAAACATCGCACCTTCATAAAGACTAGTTGTTATATCTAATACATGTGAAAATGACAATTTTTTATTTTCAGCGTCTAAACAATCCGAAACTTGTCTCACTTCCATCACGCACCACGTCCTGGTCAGATGTCAATACGCAACAACGCTGCTCAGCAATAACTCAAAACAGAAAAAAACCGAAAAGGGCCACGTGTGTGTTTAATTTATAACGAATTGCTTTGGAATGAAGTTCGCTCTGAATCCTTCCCATCTCACGATGATACAGCTCTATGATTTTTGCATGATAAATTGTTTATTTTCTACCTCTAAAAATATTGCACAAAAGTAAATACTGTGAAACATTTATCTTCCCATAGATTATGCTGTTGAAAGAGGAGACGTTCCGAAAATCGAAGTGAGACGCACTTTGTCCACATACCTTTCTCGATTAACTTGGACTGATGAAGATGCCTTCGGATTACGTCTTCCAGATCACAATTTTCCTGAGGGATTTCACTTACTCCATAAGCGTTGCTGTAAGCGAAAAATGTACAGTACGCGTCCAGGATTCTCTGCCATAATTTCGCAGGAGAACTCATGGTGGACTGACCCTTCAGGAAATGAAACAAACAGAGAATCGGTAACATTTAATTTTTTACTACTTTGAATCTCATGAATTTTACAAATAATGGCATATTTTCTGAAGAACACACTGTCGAGTCCTAACTCTATCTTTCTCTGTTTCCAATGGGTAGACCGACCTCCATCTACACAGCGAAGAGTGCGACAAACTCCTTAGTAGCTCAGATTGGCAACCGGAAATCATAGTTCAAAAGTTGCCTGCATTTCTTGAATTTGTAAAGGAAATTCAAGGCTATGTCGTGCGGGAAATGAAAGAAACTGGATCAACAAGAACAGGTTAGAAAACACATGCTGCCTTTTCGTGTATCTCGTCGACATGAAAAAGCATCGGATTCCATACCAACTTTATCCCTTTTAACGCCGGATTCCTAAATTGAGCTATGTCTTCATACAAAAACATCACAAATATTAATAGAGAAAAGTCCCAAGCCTGCATTGCAATCAGTGCATAATCTCAAAGGAGCTGGGTCAGAGAATTGGTTTAAACTCGTCTTTATGTCTCATGATGAGGTATCAACCGTCTACCTTAGTTATTAAAGGCATCACGGCGAAAATAGTGCCAATGAGACCTAGAAGAAGCCCACAAATAATTCGGGAGATTGCAGTACCTTTTCTTTCAAATAGGACCTTATTCTGGGTAGCCATTGTTCTCGTAGCGAATATTCTGATTTTTGTATTAAGAAGTATCGTATATCAACATACATAGCATAAAATGGCAATCGACTTCTTTTTCCTCACGAAAAACTTTAGTTAGAACCATCGGACTTAATATTCTGCTTTGACTCTGAGCGTGACACCATTTCTCTTGACTTCTTATAAAGAAGTGTTCTTTCTATTAATTCTAGCTTTTTCATCATACATTCATCATTTATTTATTTATATATTATGGTTGTTATTACGAAATTTTTTCATTGGATCTAATCTACATGATGATGTTCTGTTGCCTTCGAAAATGCAGTTCCTCCGGAGATCCTTGCAAGGGGCCCTTCAGCCTTAAAAGCCTACTATGACGCATTGGACGAAGGAAAAATCTGTGACAGGAGAGTACCATTGATGTTGGTTGGACAAGACCGATCTGGAAAGACTAGCTTGAAGAAATCGCTAAAGGGAATGTGTTTCGACCCAGAAGAGGAGAGCACAGTGGGCATCGACTTAGATCGTTACCATTTTCAAGTGACAACAGAAATGTGGACGACAGGGAAAAAGAATGAAGAAGGAGACGTTGATGAAGAAGCTATTTCATTTGAAGAAAACGTAGCACGGTTGGCTGCTAATACGTTGAAGAAGACAAAAACTGTCTCTGAGTTTAGAAGCGAACACATTGCTGATGAAGGAGACTATGATCTTGAAGAAACTGATGATCTCTTGGAGGTAATCCCCAGTGACAAAACAGTTGGCCCAGAGGAAATCGAGTCAACAGAGGCTCGTTTATCCACTGAACATAGCACGGGTGAAATTCTCAAAGCGGTAGGAGAGGCTCCTGACCAGAAACCAGAAGAAAATTTACCTTATCTCACTCCAGAACAAGAATCAGAATTTCAAGAAATTGCTTCAAGAATTGAACGCAAACTTAAACTCGAGGAAAAAGAAGATGAAGATATCTACTCAATTCTGTGGGATTTTGCCGGACAGTCCGTTTATTATGTGACACATCCCCTCTTTCTCACTGCAAGAGCAATTTACTTTCTTGTTTATGACCTCAGCCAAAATCCAGACGAAAAGGCTAAGCCTCTCGTGAAGCAGGGAGTGTGTACAACAAAAGTCCCAAGACAGTTTCAACCTGAAAACTAACTTGGATTATCTAGATTTCTGGATGAATTCATTGGCGTCCTTAGCCTTTCAACACCCAAGCCATGGGCAGGATCTAGAACCTGGTTCTGATGTTCTTCCCCAGCAACTTCCAGTCGTTTTTTTAGTCTGCACCCACGCTGATAAACCTTATCATGGCAGAGACCCATTTGAAATTGCGAATGAAGTTTATGGGACATTGAAAGAGAGACCCTTTGGTACCCATTTGTTTGACGTGTATTGTGTGGATAATACAAAGTCAGGCAGTGAGTCTGAGTGTCAAGAAGTCAAGCGCTTAAGACAGGATGTTCTTTCTGTTTCCAAGGAATTGCCACATGTTAAAGAAGTAATTCCTGTTAAGTGGTTAAAGTACGAAAAGACACTTGAATGCATGAAGAAAGAAGGGCAGAAGTGGATTTCACTTGCTAAAGCAAAGTGCGTTGCATGTGATCAATGCGAAATCGAGAGTGAAGATGAGTTTAAGACGCTGCTCAACTTTCTGCATGACCTAAGAATCTTGATCCATTTTGATGACACCGCAGAGCTGGAAGATATGGTGGTCCTGGATACTCAGTGGTTGATAGACGTTTTCAAGAAGGTGATAACTGTAAAACCCTACCACTGGAAAGAAAAGCCATTTGTAGACCTATGGTGTAGGCTCGAAAAGGAAGGAATCTTGGAGGAGAAGCTTTTAGAACATGTCTGGAAACCTTTGATTCTCCACAAAGAAACATCTGAAAGTTTAGTTGCAATAATGGAGAGATTTAGTCTGCTATGTTCATGGCCCTCACCTGATGTTTCCGGTAATAAACAATACCTGGTACCATCAATGCTGAAGTCACATCCACCAGAAGCTGTCATGAAGTTGGTGTCAACTGCACATATGCCTTCTCTTGTTCTCAAATTTGAATCTGGTAAAGTGCCTTCTGGCCTATTTCCTCGACTAGTGCTGCAGTTTTTTCTTTGGGGAAAAGAAATGTTTTGGAGCTCAGCAAAACCAAAGATGTACCACAGCTTTGTCAGGTTTTTTCTGTCAAAAGATGCTGGAGGTTCTGTGATTCTTCTTTGTCACTCGTGTTACATTGAGGTTGTCTATCATCATGGGAGTGTAGACGACGGATTAGGAAATGCTTTACGGTACCAGAGGTCGATGGATATCTGTTATAAAGAACATGAATTAACGTGTGTCCGTGTCATCTGTAGACAGTTTGGTTTGATTCTGGAGTGCATGCGCAATCAGTTCTGCTGGTTGAACAGTATGAGATACACAATGGGTATCATCTGCCCGGTTTGCCGTGAACAAAGTGCCAATGACTACTGCGATAAGCATCAGAGTCTAGATTGCAAAGAAGAGGACTGCCTCCACTTTTGGCCCCAGTCTGATTTGTTTGCTTCTAAGGGGGAAGTCTTTTGCGACAAATCGGTGTGTGCGCATAATAGTAGATTCAGCCCTGAGCGCTGGGCTCCTTGGTTTCCACCTCAGAATGATCAGGTAATTTTCATTACGAAGCTGCAAAAAAAACAAGTAACTCTACCATTGCAGGTCAAATAATTTAATTTAGGTAAGGCATATACGTGGTAAATCAGAGTTTATTGACATAGTTGTCAATCTTTAAATACAAAGAAATTGAAAGGCTCTTTGGAATATGTCTGAATGTTGCAGAATTTCCGAAGATTTTAGGGAGCGTAACAGACATGTTCACACCATTGGCAGAATATATATTGTGTAAAGGTCAATTATCAATTATCAAAACGCAGTGTGGTAACGAAAAAGCATATCGTGATTTTTCTGGCCATTTTTGAACCACAATTTCATAATTCTCAGATCATGAAATGTGAGAAAATTTTTCAGTCCTTCTTTTTTTTTAAATATCATAGGTGTCATGCAGTAATTTCTGTGAGAAAACTTTGTCTTTGGATACAGGTGAGCTTCCTACCTAGAATTGCATGTTTACGACAATCGACGCAGGTTCTCGTCTACAATGCACCAAAATCTCAAATCACTCTGCCTCGTTGTTTATTAACAATATTTCCAAACTGGTCAAGAGTAAATGCAGGCACTTCTGATCTCCTGATGCTTGAGGTATCCTCTTTTATTCACTCAAAGCAAATGGTCGTGTTTGCGCACACAATTGCGCAGTTCTCAAATTAGCCTATTCCAAAACGCTGAGAATCTGGCTAGATAGCTATAATGTCACACAATCTTCATGTTTTCATAAACTTGTATCCTTAGGAAATACAGATGGAACCCTTTTTGTTCCTGTTGAGATTCTAGACTCCCTTTTGTCACGGTCGATTGATTGCAAAGATGTTGTACAACAACTGAAGGACAAACTCAATCTGGACCAAGCTGCTTTGCAAGATCCCGATCCTAATAAAATGAAGTCGATTCGTTACTTGGCCAGAAAGGCTAACATCGCGGGCCGCTATGATGTGATTAAAGAGCTTAGAAGTTTTGTGCCAGCAGGGACCACAGGTAGGTTCGCTTTCAAAACTTTCCCTACTGTGCAAGAACTCAAAGTCACCAAGAGGTCAATTTTATGCAATCGAAATATTGCTCTGAGAAAAAGAAATATATATCCATGCCGAGTAAGGTACAAACCTATTCCTCGATGGTCAGGGGTTATCCTATGTGATATATCAGAATATTTTAAGTCTTATTGGCTCTGTTTTTTAACCAAATGGTTTTCATGTACATTACGGATTCGCCCTTCTGTCAGGTTTTCAAAATCGTACAGCATAAAATTTTCGCTACACTCCGATTTTCCAACTTACGACACTACAAGATAATTACTAAATGGAGAGACGAGAACTAACATAATTGTGGTGACGTAAAGTGTAAATCTCGTGAACTTAACGTCATATCATACAGTGACTTAATTGGAAGAGGGCTATTTATCACTGTTTCCTAATAGGCGTGACTTTTGTATCAGAGTCTACATCAATTTTCAATGTGAATGGATTTTGTGGTCAATTTGCTCAAGAATATTAACTCACATTTAGGCATGAACTGCCTGGATACAAAGTGAGCACTTTGCTGTCACTGTAGCTATACTGTCCCGCAGTTGTCCTGTCCCGCAGTTGTCCCGCAGTTGCGTCTTTGTTCATTTTTAACATTTTATTCTTGAACTCAACCTTTTTGGGTTGTTAGGTGTTGTGCTTTTGGATTTCATTTTTTTTTTATTATTATTATTATCCTATTTCTTTTTGCTAGCTCCTTTGTTATCTGAGAGCCTTCACATTCGACAAATACCTTTCAGTCAGCGGAGAAAGCTCACCATTGCCTTAAGTGGTAAGGCTATAAAACAAAGCATATGAACCTTTGACATTTTACTAGTAGAGGGGTTTTATTAGTGGGAAGTCTAAACCAGTTTTATTTTAAACTTTTATGGTAGCGTTCGACAAAAACTCGCAAAATATGTAAATTAAAGGATGACGAATGAACTTGTGCTATCTCAAGAACCAGTTGTGTTGATAAAGCGTGTTTACTTCTGTAGGTTTAGACGAGTGGAAACTTTTTGCCGAAAAACTTGGGCTGACCCCAGAGGAGATTCGTTTCCTTGACCAGCGCACCTTGAATCCAGTTGATGCTACCTTGAATCACATTGCACAAAGATGTCCGTTAACTGTGGGAGATCTTTACGACCTATTAAACGACTGTGAGCTACCTGTCATAGCTGATGAGCTCTGACAGAAGATATTTTCCTTATCGGAGATATTAGTTTCTTAAACTAAGAGAAAATTGATTTTTATCCATATGAATAGGAACTTTTTACACATAAAAAATTTCGTAAATAAATTTTTTTTCACCTTTCCATGTATTTGTGAGTCTTTCATCAAAATCAAATGAGTAAAAATAAGAAAAGTCCTCATTAAGTCATTTCATCATAGTTAAAAACTTACCGAAGAGTCTGTTTAATTTTCATCACTTTTTTCCTCCTTTTGCAAAGAAAATTTTTTGGACAAAATTTAAGCCGAGGTAACTTTCTGTTTTGACCGTTTTCCTGCTTCCAAACTACATTTGACAGTGTTCATTTCAAAAGTGAGCTCTTCGTTGAGGTAACGTTGCTGGCCTTTCTTACAAATATTGGAAAAATTGTCTTAGTCCCAATCAGGAATCGAACCTCAGACCTCATATAATTCTGCGCTCCAACACTCTACCACTGAGCAACAGAGACTCCATAGTGAACAAAATCAAACAAAATCTGAATTATCTAGTGCAAAGTTTGTTAACTGTATTTCAAATAAATTCACAAAATAACCAACAACTAAGATTTAATAAGTACCCATAATACAGTAGCTACCATAAAGGCAAATTGTGGGAGATTATTAAGCTTTTAAGGCGCAAAAGGAACAAAATCTGATTTACCAAGCGCAAAATTTAAATATACGCAAATTTGGCACAGAAATCCGGTTCTGAGTGAGTAGTGATTAATATAATACTTTTTCGAGCGTTTTTCGTTTTTCGTTTTTGTGTTTATGTTTATTGATCTTTTCTCTATTCGCTATAAGGGAAGGGAGACTACCCGTAGTATTCGAATGATTGACACGAGACTCGGAGCGCTTCGAAATATTATTCCTGGGGCAAAGGTATGGTCTCTTAACCACTGCACCACAACGTGAACCTCTCGTGGAATATACTTCTTACCGGTTTAAAGCAATTGACAGCAAAATTTGCCATGTAAAACTTGTCAACAATAGCTTTGCTTTATGAAAACAATCATCGCCTACGTCATCCACCCACTGCCGGACTACATAATCTGACTATTAGGCGTCGGTAAGATTATCGCGTATCTTTGATGTCGTTATTGCTGTCGTTCCTTAGTGGCCACGAAGGGTCATTTATGGATCGTTTAACTGAGCCCATTGTCATCATATTTTATCCGCTTTTCTCGTCACAATTTTCGTGCGAGGAAACATCCGGTAGTCCTGCAATGGAGTGTGTTGTCCAGGCTACGCTGAGGACTACATAAGCTATGTGATGCCACACAGCGGCCCGCCAGCTACAGCACACATGCTTGCTTGCCTGACCTGGACGAGTATCCAAGCCACTTTATTAAGACTGGCACGAGATTGATTCAAGTTTTTTGGGGGAAACTGGTGACAAAAGACTCTCCGGAAGTACTTCCGGTTAGGTTGTTTTGAGTTCTCTCGAATGTTGATTCTTGGTGAATCGTTCGATATTTATGTTGAAATCAAGAGCTGCCACTTACTTAAGAAAGAGCGAACACTGCTTGATACCCATGGGAAGTCGTGGTTTTGATAGGAGACGATCGAATGACTCGAAAGGAGGGTAAGAAGTTGTAAGTAAAGTAACCGAATCAACCTTTAAATTGTTGCTTGAGAATGTCTTTAACTTTCCCATTTAATTGCAATAGTAGTAGTATAGGGAACCGTTTTGCTTTTTTTCCTTACCTTATTTGCTTAAAGAAAAGTGGATGCGTTTTTTTTTTTTCAAATTAATTTTCAATTCGTCCTGGTTGGTGTCTGAAATGTTTCGAATTCATATTTGCTCATCAGATCCTGTCTTACTTCGGTTTCCAATATCGCTTATTTTTCCGTGTCCCTATACAAACGGATTCTGTTTACAGTCCCAGTGAAATCAATGACAACGGGAAAGTTTTACTTTTCTAAGGAACAATATCCTAAACCAGGTCAATTTGAAAAATAGGAGATCTGTAAATGCAAGTATCGGTTAGAGTGTTTATAAACAATCATATTTATGTACTGCGATGCCGTGCCGACAAACCACCACAGTGACAAAATGCAAATTTTTTTCTAGTCACGAAACTGTATTATGTATAAATTTAAACACTTTAAATCATAACACATATAAATTATCAAAAAAGTGGCGAAGTTCTGGGTCTTATTGCTTTCATTATACAAAAATTTTCTTAATGTGATATCATCTTGGATAAATATCATTTCCTTACTGAACTTGAAAGTAGCTTAGTGTGAAGTTTTTAAAACTTTTGTTGATTACTCTGGTTTGTCATTTTTACAACGGGTGTTTGGTCGATGTTACGAGACACATAGTCAATCAGACCTAATGTTCCATTGTAGAGCTTGTCGTGTTACAGAATCGAAAAGGGGACTTATTAACAATTTGATAGTTGACCACTACTGCGATGACGAATTTCGTTATCCATAGGAGTACAGACCACTCTAAGCCACTGTCGATTTTTTTACCTCAATATCGATGTTAAAGAAAACGGTTCTTTCATTGCGTGACCATTGCGTGACACGTTGACTCGAGCGGCGTGGTCTGTACTCTTATCGTCAACGGCAAATTGGCAATCAGATTGCGACATTAATGTCAATTGTGGTAAAACTATTCTTATGTTTGACAGATCGGCTTATAACCACCTCAAAAAACAAAATAAAGAGGCAATGGAGAGTGAATTAGTTGAGGTGCAAAGCGATATGAAAGGCCATGTAATCGGTAAGGGAGGCTGTAACATTAAAGAGATCATGGCGAAATCTGGAGCAAAGATCAGCTCTAGGAGATATGAGGACAGCTTCTCAATCAGCGGCGATACTGAGCAACGAGCACGTGCAAGGAGTCTTATTTTAGAGAAGGTGGTAAGTTTCTACCGATAAAAAGACAAAATCACTTTCATTGAATGAGAAGGCGCTAACACTGAGGCTGAAAATTTCAAGCAAAGTTTACCAAAGTTTAAGAGCTTTATTTCCTTCAGGCTTATTTTGCTGATCTCGTCCAAAACTGATTGAGATTCACATTTTTAGTTACATCAGTTTCGTTTTATTATAATAGCAAGAAATACAGCGAAGGAGAAACGACGCACGTTCCCTTGGTGAACATGTAGAGATTCCTCAAGTTTACAAAGGCTTGGTAATGGGTAAAGGAGGCGATAATCTCCGTGACATCAGCACTCAAACTGGTGCAAAAGTCACAAGGAAAGACGGTGAAGTATATATAGCTAGTGGAACTGAACAGCAACGACAACAGGCCAAACTGTACATTAGCACTATCATCGTAAGTTCATTCCTTCATAGAATATTCATTAAAAGCAAAAATATTCCTTTGTAAATCTCTTTTGACAGCTGAAATGATGATCAGGGTCGATCTCATGCTTTCGCACCATTAACTTTCGTGAATATTATCATTACCATGATGGGCATTCCCATTTCCATTGCAATCGTTTTGATTATGGTCAGTGTCAAGATGGGTATCGCTGTTCAAGGTGGGCTCAATGGTGGGGATATGTTTCGAGTGCATTTTGTTGCAACACACAGCAGAGAAAAATAATGCGTGAAAAACACACCAGGAAAACAAGTTTTGGGAGCAAATGGCAAAGACATTAGAGCGGGGGCACAATCACAAAGCACGAATGCCTTGCAAAAAAAAAATTGTAGTAGGGGAGGGAGAGTTTTAAAGGACATGATCCCGGGAATCTTCGTCTAGAAATTTGTTCCCCCGAGACACGTCGCATAGAGCTCAACTTCTTGAACTGGATAAGAGAAAACTTTGTGAAGACAACCCCGGTAGTCGTTTGCACGCTTGTGACATTTTTTTTTTTTTTTTTAACAATGGAATTAGCTTTTCAGGAAGTCGGCCATCCGAAAAGGAATTGAGGGAATGAAAATTATAAATGTAGTGTTCCCGAATCGGGAGGCGACGGTGCAATGACTCTCATGTTTTCGGAGAATTAGCCAACTGGTCAGTTCTTTCCTTTGGTCTCAATTGGAGTCTTCCATCATCTTTATGCATCGAATTGACCAAAGCATTATTGTAGTCTTTCACTTCTGAAACCCTTAATTGAAAATAATTACAGCTAGTTGTTCACACGAGGCATGTCTTCTTGAGTAAACACTCTTAAAAAAGACACTATATATTATTCGTTTTTTTTGTTGTTGTTGTTCGATGTGCAAATACTTTGCATGCGCTTAGAAATATTTCACCTCTAGGAGCAAGATGATCAAGGAACGTACCGCACATTCAAGTTCGACTGATAAAAGAACGCACAATATGAACGATACTTGAAAAAATAAATGCTGATACAATAATAAAACTTGTTGTTTTTCAAGGCTGCAGCAAGAATGAGGGGAGTGGAAAACGAATTCAACAAAGTACGTCGTTTCATTGATGGCTGTAATCTGCCAACTGATTGTAAGCTGAGGCTGGAGCAAGTTTCTGAGGGAGATCGTATGGTTCATCCAGGAATGCAAAGTCAATATCGACTGAAACCTACTGAGGACTATGAACATCAGGTTTGTTCATAACAGTTAACATTAAAAGCGATGTAGTTTAGGAACGCGCTAAGACAGCTATGAATATATTATCAATAGTGTTTCATATGGCCTAACAATTCCTTCTTCCTCCTTTCTTCTTTTAGCCCGCTTCTCGAGGGCTGTACGGCTTTCACTCTTTGGCACTGCTCACTCTATCACAAACGGCTAATCATAAGGGGATTTTTGTTATGTAATAAATGAAACGTTTTATTCACCGGAGTCTAAGACCATCAAAAATATTTATACGACCAACTTAGACTTTAATTTGCCTGTCGATGCCGCAGATGTTTTAACGGCACTCTGCAGATACACAAGTGCAGCCCGTGAAAATAATTCTTCCAGGCTAAAACTACATGTACGTCTAGTTTCATAAACGATGAAAGTATTTCGGAATTATGGCATACCCTTTTTAGTGAAAAACTGGTTGTTAACGCATATTTCATATATTTTGCAATCGTCAAACTTATTAGCTCGACATCAGAATTTGAAATTGAAAATTGATCTAATTCAGGAACCAAATAGTTCTACTGATGGTTATCACTCGCAAATTATGGATGCTGCATTAGAGGCACTGCGTCAAATAAAGTATGAAACCGAAGAGCAACCGAAGGCTGACATGTGGTGTCACTTGGGAACGGCCATAATCCGAGGAGCCGATGAAGGTAGTTTTACTCATATCCATTCTACTTCTTCTGTTAGCTCTGACTTTTTTCGTTGATGTTTTCGCCATCATTAATGTCGGCTCTTGGTGTTCTATTGGTGTGGCTCAAGTTACAGAAGTCTGTTTTATAAGGGCGAGCTCTTACTGATAAAGAACAAGAAAAGAAATTATACGACTATTGTTTGGAAATGAATTAAGGATTACTTAAATATAGTGTATCAGGCCTGGTTTTGATCATTGAATCTTGTTAAATGAAGAGGAGCTGACCCTAAATATCCGATGCATCAGTAACAAAAAAAAGTGATGAGAACAAACATATATTTCGCCAATTTTTTTTTCTTGTAGAGGAAGTGACTGAAGGGGAATGGAGTATTGATGAGGTTACAGGAAAGCTTCAATCTTCAGAAGCAGAAAACTATTGGAAAGTAGCCTTTAAAGAAGGTGTGAATCTCGATGAGAAAATCCTGAAGGGTAATTTGTGCGAAACGACGACTGAGGATTTCAAAGTGAGATATGATTTAACATATTTGACGCCATGTGGGCACCAAGTGCGATGCAAGGTACGGCGACATCGTGGTTAGAAATGGTGATCCACACAATATACAATAAGCATAAAATAGATCAATACACCAGCTGATAAACCTTAAGTTGGCAAAGCTTTGGGAAAAAAAGATTCGGTTAAAAAATCTCTAACAATGATATAAAGAGCGATATACAATGATATCCAGTCACCTACATTAAGATATATAATTAAACAGCCCTTAATTTTTTCAAACAAGCTAACTAACATGAAAATAACGAATCTCACGGAAAAAACAGATTCTTGCATTGCTTTAAATTAAGTGTTTCTAAGAGGATCATATTCAACAAACAGTAGTGTCTCATATAATCTTTGATATATAGGTATGGGTGGCAAAGGCGGATATAAATAAGAAGTTGGAGGATATTCCAATCCCTTTCAGCGACGTGAAGAATATTCTCGAGACAATTCACTTTGAGGACGAGGTAACACGGTCGAGATGCCAGGGATGGCTGGTTCTTCCATCTCGAAGATATTTACAGGCCGATATTTTGTTTCCCAGTTGTGAATTTGATTGCAGGTTAACCATTCGAGGGCGAACAGGTGGGTGTGAAACGCTTGTAATCTGGTATCGCACAGACCTTTGAAATATTATTGGTTTTATTTAATTGCTATTCTAACAACATACACTATCGAACTCTGTGCGAGTTTGATACCAGCAAAGGGAACTAGGAAACGAAGAATTCGATAAAAGATTTGATAATAAGAAAACTTGTCAAGAGGATATGCGTTACAATCCTCAGGTTTTCTTGAAACACCCCATTCCTCTGTGTGTTACATATTCGCGAGCGCTGCAAGTTTCTTATGGCCAACGTACAAAGGGGGTAGATAAGATCTAAAGCAGGTTTGTTACGAGAATTAAAAAAAATTGTCTGAATATTTGTCGTTTGGCTATTTTGTACCTTCATGCTCCACACTGTATTATATAACAAGAAAATATGACACATTGTGAGGCTAGTCTTCTCATTGCTGTAATATACGATAAACTTACTGCTGTAAGCTTGGAAAGAAAAGGTCATTGTTACTGAGTAATAGGCCAGTTTGAAAATCTGAAACATACCGGCACAAACTCACGTCAGCGGAACAAATTACATATTCACTCCACCAGATGAAAAAATAGGCTTAAATTGATTTAAATTTAAAGCGCTGGCGCACCATGTTAGGGATCTCCCACTTATTAAGATGTAAGAAAAGTATATACAAATATAAAGATAAAAGTTCCAATTATCCTTAATAAAATTTAAAACGCTCCTTTTTAAGGCTGTAATACTGTTTGCTTCTCGAATATTACTAGGTGAACTCTTCCATTATCAATGATTTGGTTGAAAAAGCTATATTTAAAACCATTAGTTCCACTAAAACTCGGGCAAGGTCCGGTGTGCCATTTTTCCTCAAGTTATAATTTATATTTATGTCCTTACAAAATAGGAGCTTGTTTTAAATATCTAAATTATAATGTCCACTAATCGAACAAAAATGTAACATTTCTCAATAATTCTGTAGATCGTGCGGTCAACGCAGACTATGCACCAGATGAAGAAACAAGACTTATCATGTCAAAGTATCTCTCTGGACTCACCTTCGATGATGAAGATGATTTCGGACTCCGCCTTCCAGAAGAAACCATACCCGAGGGATTTCACTTGATCCATAAACGCTCCTCCAAACGAACTTTGTACACCGCCAATGAGGGATACGCGATCATTCTTTCCAAAGAAAGCTCGTGGCGAAGTGACATCCTAAACGAAGACTCCAGAGAATCGGTAGGGACAGTTCCATCGGGCCAAGCCGGTCAAAATGATGTGTTCGTTAATATTAATATTCTACAACATGGCCTCAAATTTTTTATGATTACTCGTGGACACTATACAAATAGGCAGGCTTACCTTGTTTAAAGTAGAGTAGGTACTGCATATCATGTAAACGTCACTCAAATTTTCTTTCTGCGTTTCTTTTGGATTTAACAACATTTTTTCTCGTGGAACTCCAGCTATGATTTGATCACCGAGTGTTGGTATTTGCGAAGGATCCTTCCTTCCGTCTAAGGTTCCATTTATCATGTCATACAAAGTTATTCATGTACGTATTTTAAAACAGTTCTCCATATGCCACCAGCAAATTTTTTATTCTTATTTCACAAGGCTATACTTAGAGTAAACACATGGTTTCAAATGTAATTTGGGATGGATGAGCGCGAACAAATGTTTTCAAAGTCTAGCATAATTGCATGAGCCTGTGACGCCGTTTAGAGGTCGTGTTCGTTTGGCTTTTTATGAGTGCCTTTGTTTATCAACCATCAAAATTCTCTGTTTTTCACTTTTTTGGCACGGAATAACCCTTTCTCTCCACTAAATTTTATTATTTCTGCATCGGAATTCTCATCGACACGTTTTTTTGATGTACATTATAGATGAGGAAACGATATAACGAAAAACTCTGCGAGAGCGAAACCGAAGGAAACTGTGTATGATTTGCTGGAAGCGTAGGACGAAAGCAGCCAAAAAAGCAACAGAAAAGCTTGAATTAGATAACGACTATTTTTCTATTCATAGAAAATTGTTTATTTACACGTCATTGTTTGTATTCGTTTGTAGACTGATCTTCATTTGCACTGTAAAGAGTGGGATGAGGCACTTTGCACCAAGGACTGGGAGCCAGATGCCATTGTTGCAAAACTTCCGGAGTTCTTGAAGTTTTTGAAACAAGTTCAAAGTTTTGTTGCACAAGAAATGGCAGAGTGAAATTTTCTTAAAGGACTATAGTTTTTGTATTATATTTTTGTGAAAGATTTTAAATGTTTCTGAAATTTTTGTGATATGTTGGAAACATCGTTCACAAATTTCGTTAATATCAAGTCCAGCCCTTCTCGGAAAAATTCAATTTTAAACCGTCAATTTCAAACTACTGGTAGTAAGTTTTTCAGTATGCAGGCATTCTTGATGGGCAGCCCCAACTCTTCTGACCACTGATTAGATTTTTTTTAGTTCGAAAAGCTGACTCAGAATTTACACCTATTTATTCTGTTTTCAGCCCGGTACTTCCGACAACGCCTGTTTTGGTAATATCCAGGACGCTTGTCGTAATCTAAGGCTTAAACTAAGCAAAAACCCAGATAATACGTTTGCCGTAACAAAAAGTGGTGATGACCATGCAAGATCTGGCTCTCGCAAGCTGAAAGTTTTTTTTAGGAACAGCTTACAATCAGAAACGTTTTCTTCGTGGGATGTTGACTCTTCAGGGATAATTCAAAAGACTTCTTAATATCGTATTCAACGTATTCGAGGAGACCGCAACCTGTTGCCTAAAAGAGGTACAGTTCAAGGCCTTGTCAGTTTCAAGCGGGCAACCTTTTGCTCCGCCAAATATTCTTGACATCGACTGACATAAGAATTTTTGACGAGCAAAGTTAAGAGTTAGGCAGAAGTGGGTAGGACATCCAGATATTCAGGAAACAACTTTTTCTTGGTTACAACCGTTGACGCTGATAAAAATAAGGAGAAAACAAGGGACGGCAAAACTGTTCTTAAAATACCGAATAAAAATAAATTATTCTCGATACGTCAATCATGAGCTCTTTTACCCGCGGCTTGATTTCCGGTCGTTAACCATGTACATGTACTTAAGAAATTAAAATTACAGTGCGGTTGATGCTGTCGCTATCCAAGAGCTAAAATGCTAAGAAAATGTATGTGAACGATAGCTTAGGACTGTTTTACAAAAGGACAGAAAATATCTAAATTATCGCACTTTTTCAAGTTTTCTTAGGGCTGGAAATCGTTGAATAACACCGTAGTTTATATAATAAACGTGTTTCCTGTCTACCATGGTTTGTTAAAAGGTTTCATACGAATTAAATTTGAGCATAGATATAGTATGGTGGAGTAATACCGATGAAGATGCATTTTTTGAAAAAGATGACAATGTGAATAAATTGCTGCTACTTCTATTAGTATTTACGAGATAACAAGGTAATATGTTCATTATTATATGTTATAAGTTCGTGGCATGGAATTTTTTCGTCAAAGGATCAAAAATTTTTTGCGAGGGAAAATGCTTTCAAGCCTAAAGGCTAAAAATACTGCTTATTAGTATGACAACAGAAACGTTATTAAACGGAGTAGAATAGTAACGGAGAATAAAAGAATGCAAACAGAACATCCCCTGCCTAATAATCAGTAGCCCAATGCTAACCAGTAATTGGCTCATTTTTTTCCTTCTCTCTTTAGAGATGCAAGATGCAATTCCTTTTTTCCTTTAGAAATGTGTCTGACTCCTTCCTACGCATGCGCAGTCAATGCAACTAACGATTTTCGATATTTTGCCTTTGTTCTCACGTTATTTAAATGATATCACCAAATAACGTCCACAACAAAGTACACTTCTTCCTTACACTTCGATAGAATCCCTCTCCTTAGGACAAAATCAGATTTTCCCTTGATTCCATCCCATTTTTCCAGTCATTTACTATCAGCTGACTCAAACTCGTTTACTCGTACCCTTGGAACGCAAGTGCACATTTACAGAACAACTGATTGAATAAACGAAAAGTAACATATGGAGGTGTTGTGTTAAAATGGTTTTTACTTTATAAGGTTTTTTATAATGAAAAACGGAAACACAATGTTTGGTCAGTCTGATTATTGTATTATCCTGAACTTTAACAATCTAACCGTCATCAAATTGCCTTGCATGTCAACGCACTCATAGAGTGATCTGGCCACGACAAAACTGTTGTATCAAAAACCCCTATAGGAAGACTAACTCACGTTTCCCTTATTGAAAAAGTTGCCATAGGGACTGCAAGAGTCATGTTCCGCTGTGCGTTTCCATCTCGCACAGCCAAAAAATATCAGATTTCTTGGAAAACCTGCCTCCGTTCGTGAGACCAGTAACAAAAGAGCTTAGGTAAGATTGACTTATCCAATGCCTAGACCAGGTACCTCCTTCTCAGTCCCATTTTTTCTGTGACCGTATCGAAAGATAATTGCTGCACTTAAAACATTAGATGTTTGAATTTTGTTGGTTTTCGACCGCGGCTATTGACTGGAAATCAACCAAAGGAAACAACAATCTAGCATTAATGAAACCTCAATACCCAAAAAATGCAAAAAATTTCGTTAGTAACTCATTGTCATGGAAGTGCACTTTCATTGTTCTTTCAAAATGTGACAAATTTAAACTGAGCACAAACAAACAAAACAGATCTCCATCGTCAGAATTAAAGCCTTACTATATTTTTCTGTTTTTTGTTTGTTTGTTTGTTTGTTTTTATTGTTTTTTTTAAGCTGACTTCATGAAGAATCTGAAAGAGGAAAAAAAAGAAAATTGGTCTCTATGATTAGAAATTTAAAAAAAAAAACAATAAAACAGGATTCCGTTCCGAAGAGCAGGTGATTGAAGAACCGTTTTCTATGTACGCACATTGTTTGCTTGACTGTAATACGCAAACACAACATACATTGCAATTTGGCAGACAACTGATAACATGGCAAGGGAGAAGAAAAAGATTGCATTGGAATTTTAAGATTCAGCTTTGATTTCAGTTGTGATTCATTCAATAATATAGAGGAGATTGTGGTTTATCTTTCCCTTTTTTCACAATAAAAATTTCCCTCAAGAGTACCCCTGTTAACACATGATGCAAGAAGAATCAGCTCCGAAACAAAAACTTAGACTGATCAAATATTCAGTAATCTGCCAGTTAAAGTTCTAAAATATACCATGTGCGTTTTGGAGATGGTATTACCATTAGGCATTTCACAAATGTAAGCCCTTTTTTGATTGTTTGAAAGATCACTAAACAGGCTTGGCGTTTTTGCTGGGAAATCCAGCGCCAGCGGTCGTCTGCCATTTTTTAAAGCTCAGCTTGCTTCCACTCACCAACTTCCAATCCCCGTTAAAACTTTATGCAGGCCTATATGCCATTCGTTAGGCTTCCCGATGCAACGCTTTTGAATTTCGTTGTTGAGGAAGCTCCATTCTGCTTCATTTTCTATAGAGACGAGGTCGCCACCCTTCTTTTGGCAAGTTTTTCGGTTGTCGGACCATGTCCCGCCCGATTTCGCATCGGAAATAAAGTAACACTAACTTTTGAAACATATTTTATATTCTATGGATAGAAGATATTCAAATCTGATTTGAAAATAATTTTTAAATTTGTAGAAATGTCATTGTATCAACGCTTGCCCCCTTACTCAAGGAGTTGCACACCCTTCCGTGCGCCTAAGTACAGATTTGCAGGGGGTGTTTCCGCGGTGGCGAGACTCTACGTTCAGTTTTGATCAGTCACCGGGCAAAAATATAGTAAATTAACATGTTAAAAATAACTGAAACTGTCGGAAGTTGGAATTTTAATTCTTTTTAAAGGCATCTCTAACTAGGAATCGAATTTCAATTTGCGCTGATTAAAAAATTGAAACGAGTCTAAAGAGTTATGGCCGCAGGAAAAATCTTTGAAACTGTTAATTTGCTTCTGCCTTAAACAACACGACCGCTGACGAACACAAGAATTGAAAGGTTTAAACTATAAATAATTTTGCCCCTTTTGTTACAGTTTGAAATCGTGGCAACCTGTGATGCCGTGTTCAGCCATCAAAGGGAATATAGGGCGAATACTAATCGATCTCAGGAAAACCTATTATTCATACTTTATTTTCTTAGATCAGTAAGTAGAAAAAGAAACTTAAGAAAAAACTGGATAGGATAATTCATACAAACCCACCGTAATAATAGTGTATAATGCACTTACAGTTCCTAAAAAACAAATCGTGCGGGAGTTTCTTATGTACATTGAAAAAGGGAAGCACGAAATGTCACAAGATAGTCTACATGAGGCCCTCGTGAAAAAACAATAAGAAAACATCCAAAAAGAGTAGAAAGTGACCCGTAAATTACAAAATGTTCTACACATATAAATGACTGCAATGGATACAAAAACAACCAGGCGCCTTGTGAGTTCGTTAATGAATGAGCTCATGGAAGAACAGTCCTTTATTTCATTAGGGAAAATTGTTCCAAATTCTAGCCGTTCTAAAAGCAGAAGAACGCTGTCCATATGAGTGTTTTACTCGAGGTAGTACTCCCTATTTTACAAAAGTGCCGAGGACAAAACCTGACGCAAACATGGATATTTCTCGGAGTTTCCGGGGTGTTAGTACTCTCCAGCTGCTGGGCCTAGTTGTTCGAAGGCCTTTTGTCTTGGAATTTTAATGTGTTTCTTTATTCCTTTGTTCAAAAGCCTTTTGAGGATAATTTTCTCTATTATTTTTAGAGCATCCACGCGTCCAATCGAGGAAAAAAATAATTTTACTGAATTTTCTGCCAAAGCTTTCAGCTCTAAGATCAGATTATATACTTACCCTGGGTTATCTTATCCCGGCTTTGAATAACCCAGCCAAGAGGGAAGATGAACCAGTCAAGTATGTTATTATTCAACAGCACAAAGTAGAGTACAAATAACACGCGAATAGATTTCAAATATCCCGCAATAGTGTACAGTTGGTTTTTTGGAACTGTGAAAAAACCTGTTTAACCTGTCGGCTGCGCGCTACGCTTCTCTATCCGCTTTTCTTTTCCCGCCTTATGAGATATGAGTAGAAACGCTCGGCAGAAAAAAAGCAGTTAGATGATAAATAACATGTTAGACCTTTTGTTGTGTAGTATGGCTAATTACCAAATGGACGTGAGTGTTCTACCGAAAACTAAAACACTCGTAGAATTAATACGACTAATACATCCGGAA